TTCCTGTGAGTACTGTTACAATTAGAAGACACCTACGTGAAGCCAAGCTATCTGCAAGAAGCCCCCGCAAAGTCCCACTGTTGAAAAAAAGACATGTGCTGAAGAGGTTACAATTTGCCAAAGAGCACATTGACTGGCCTAAAGAGAAATGGCGCAACATTTTGTGGACTGATGAAAGTGAGATTGTTCTTTTTGGATCTAGTGGCCGGAGACAGCTTGTCAGACGACCCCCAAACACTGAATTCAAGCCACAGTACACTGTGAAGACAGTGAAGCATGGTTGCGCAAGCATCATGATATGGGGATGTTTCTCATACTACGGTGTTGGGCCTATTTATTGCATACCAGGGATCATGGATCAGTTTGAATACATCAGAATACTTGAAGAGGTCATGCTGCCTTATGCTGAAGAGGAAATGCCCTTGAAATGGGTGTTCCAACAAGACAACGACCCCAAACACACCAGTAAACGTGCAACATCTTGGTTCCAGACCAACAACATTGACGTTATGGAGTGGCCAGACCAATCCCCGGATCTTAATCCAATAGAAAACTTGTGGGGTGACATCAAAAATGCAGTTTCTGAGGCAAAACCAAGAAATAGAGAAGAACTGTGGAATGTAGTCCAATCATCCTGGGCTGGAATACCTGTTTCACAGGTGCCAGAAGTTGGTTGACTCCATGCAACACAGATGTACAGCAGTTCTCAGAAACAGTGCTTATACAACGAAATATTAATTAAGTGATTCAAAGGAAAGCAAAATCTTCAAACATTTTTCAGTTTATATAGTGAATGTTTGAGTTTGTAAAGAAGAATACAAACACTGCTATTTTTTTGAACAGTCTAATATTCACTTTTCTTCAATTTTTTTCGAGGAACAACACAAATTTGATATATTTTTCTTCATGTTTTGATTTAGAATAGAATGTGTAGTGTTCCCAATGCATTTGTGTGTATGGAAATAAAAGCTATTAGGAGTTTGAGCGTTATTCACTTTTTTCAACACACTGCTATTATTTTGAACACAACTGTGTGTATATATGTATATATACTGTATATATATATATATATATATATATATATATATATATATATATATATATATATATATATAATGCTCCACTGTCAGAATACACCCGATCAGGCAGGCAGTTGGCTGCAGCACTGACTGAACAAAAATTTTCCAACAAGCCTGTTCACGAGAAGTCGATCTTTATATCTACTTCTCAAAAACAGGAATGACCATAGATAGATTGAAATTCAGCTGGTTCATCAGGTCCCTCACATCACAGAGGGAGTCAAGCTTGAGCTGATAGTCATAAAACTGTTGGATAATGATTGAGGAATCCCATGTCCAAATTTAGGCCGTTATCTCTTGTGTCAAATAGAATTATCATTCTTGGTTCAAAAGTTTTTCTTTCCTGAATGGATTTGAAATTTCCTTTAAAAACTAAAATATTGAGGTCTTCCATAGTGTGGTCTGGTTGTGCGAAGTGGTGTCCCACAGGTGTGCAAAGGTCATCGTCTTTATGTTCCTTGATGGTATGTCTGTGCAAATTCATCCTTGTTTGCAACTTCTGTCCTGTTTCGCCAACATAAGATTCTTTGTTACATTTTTCTGCATTGTATAAGGTACACAACATTACTGGAGGTGCAGCTGTATGATCCGGACCTTTGCACACCTGTGGGACACCATTTCGCACAACCAGACCACACTATGGAAGACCTCAATATTTTAGTTCTTACAGGAAGTTTCAAATCCATTCAGGAAAGAAAAACTTTTGAACCAAGAATCATAATTCTATTTGACACAAGAGATAACGGCCTGAATTTGGACATGGGATTCCTCAATCATTATCCAACAGTTTTATAACTATCAGCTCAAGCTTAACTCCCTCTGTGATGTGAGGGTTCTCTCCCCCCCCCCCCCCTTTGCTTTTGCTGTATCTTATCTGTAGCCTTTTTTTTCCATCTCTTCTAACATTCTGCTAAAACTTTGTGATTTGTATGGTACTGCTTGGACCTTGAAGAAGGGGAAACTCCCCGAAAGCTTGTCCCCAAAATTGTATGTTAGTGCAAATAAAAAAAGTATCACGGACAGTACTCAATTGTTTCTGTCTCTAGTTTTTCCAAATTAGTGCCCACAAAATGTGTTGGTTTTTGTATTTGGTCCTATAAAAAGCTTCCCAGTAGAACTACTCTGTTAAAAGCTAAATTTAAACATGGAGACAATTTGCATTCACTTTATTTTATTAGTGATTTTTTTTACAATATATTTTCATAATTTGCACATTATACTGAGATCATATGTATAACTTTTTTACATGTCAAATTTATAATATACTATATTTTCTTCTTTACAACCAAATAACAAAAGTCGTAACCCCTTAAACAAAAAAATTAAAATATTTTCTTAAAATGTGTAAAGAAAATATCAGAAAACAATGTTAAGTACAGTGTATTTGTGTTTGTTTACATATTAAATTGTATATATTAGGCACATTTTGTCAGCATACCATTAAGCCAGCAATTTATTATTAAATGGTAAATGGCCATATCAGAGAAGTAGATGTTTTTCTGACACATCCTTGAACAGTCGCCTCGTTATGCATTGTGTGCTGGGAGCCTCAGTGGATATGACCAAAAATAAGCTTACATTACTAGCAAGTCAGTGCAGCAAAAGTGCAATCTCTTCCTATCTTACAGGGTACACAGGATACTGGCCAGATTTGAAACACCACAGCATTACCGGCCTCAGGTTCTGTCTGGAGCTCTTAATAAGAAAAGCTGTCAATTCTCAGCAAACATTTTCAAATTAAATAACCAATACCTTATATAAAGTATATACAAAGGTGTAAAAAAATTAAAATCTGTTTACAACCAATCATACTGCAGTACAGGCACATAAAAGATATGTTGCATTCCACAAATTTATTGCACCCTAAAATGACTTTGCTTGGAGTAGATATTATGTCTGCTTAGCCAATGTTCTGTCAGATTACAAGGGTCTAGTCATATTGCAGGTCTCAGAGAGATTATACTAACGAGTTGTTAGATAATGTTTTCTAGTCTCAGAAATAAAGTGCACCCAATTCTGCTTCTTAGGGTGGGCAATGGTAATAGTTTCTGATGTAGAACCTAACCTCCCTGGCTGTGAAACACTGCTCCACTTGAAACATTTGGCACCTGTTGCCTTTGTTTCAGTACAAATCTGGCACAAAGTATGCAGTGTTTAATGGGCAGAATAGTGGTAAGACAGAAAAGGGGACCTCAATTTCAGTGCAATATTAGAGCATATGGTGCTTTTTTAATTTTTTTTTTTTATTTCCTGCCAGGGTTACTGTTTGAGCCCTGGGTTAACTCACAAATGACTGCCATCAGTCCATACGTGATACAGATTAGAGGAAAAAAAAAAAAAGCTGCAAAAAGACTGAAATCCAAGATCAACCACTAACTCCAGACTGTAAATGTTATAGCACTGTGGAGAATACATTAAAAGAAAGATTTCTTAGACATTTTACTGAACAAGCCGTATTAGTTTTGTGAAAGCAACACACATAACAGAAAGTAAACTTGAAACAACCTGCTTCATATGAAACTTGCAGGAAAAGGACACATCCCTCACCATTTCAAGCATTTTGAAATAGGAATGGATGGGAGTAAAAAAACCAAGAAGGACATATAGATTACTACACTGCGTTTGAAGATTGCCAATTCAAAACCACATCAGTGCTGCTGAGCTTCTCTCAGATTAGTCAAGCCCTTATACCAGCATGGTACAAATAAATGATTTACCATAATAAAAGAAAACACCTACATGCTTAGTTTTCTGTCAGAAATGCTTGTGGATTTAATTGGGTTACCTGAAACCCAATACAGTAAAATACAGTCCAGAAAATATTTTCCATATTAAAAAAACAAAAAAAAAAAATCACTTCCGGTTAAAAAAAAAAAAATCAACTGCTAGTGAATACTACAGAATAAAGTACCATTTTCTTGTGCCTAGAAGTAATCTAGCCTATGAAAGCAAGATATTGCTCCTGAGACACCAGTCTGCACTGTGTAGTAATGTATACTTATAACTACTGAGCAAACCTACCTTAGCAATAACTGCTGGAAACAAGAGAAAATACTTTTTCCTCACATGGTTAAAACAGGGCATCAATTTCCATCATATACAACGTCATTATTCACAGATATGCTGTGACAGATTACAGCAAATTCTCTTTTAAATGACCACATTCCCTTTTTGCTAAAATATTAAATAAACCTATCGATACATACTTTATAACACAAACAGAAAAAATACATTTGACGGAAGAATCCAACATTTTTTTCTGTTCTGACTAAATTAAGCTAAATATGACTGGTTGCTTTGGGTAACTGAACTTTGCATTGCCTAATTAAGGTGTAAGCATGCAATTCTTACACATGTATTTCTCTATAGAAAAAACAAAATGTAAAGCCTCCCTTTAAGTGCAAATAAGTCTTTTTGTTTCTGTGAAGTTATTGTATAGTGATAAATACACACCAATCAAGTCAAGAAATCCAAAATATGAACAACAACAAAATGTTTTATAATGCATTTCTGGGGGGAACTATTTCTAATTAGGATTTCCTTTTAAAAAGTTCTTGCAAGTTTAAGAAATCTTTCAATGACATACATTTCTTCCACCCTCTACTCCAAGTCTTCAGGTACTCCTGTCTTATTATGGCATGCCAGCTTTATACAGACACTACTATTTTTTCTGCATTCAAAGCCTGCTGTGATACACTGAAATAAAACTTTGCTGGAACGGTTCATAATATTCTCACTTGAATTAATATTCAGCATGGTGGAAGTGCACATGTATTCAGAGGCAAATGTACAGTTTTCAATACACTGGTGTGCTTTAGAAAAGCTTCATTTACATAAAAGTGAAAATCCACAAAACATGCAGCATCATCTGGAACTAGAGCCCAGGGTAAACCTAGGGAACCCAGTGTAAATGCCACAGAATCAGGCAGTCCATGCACTCGTCGATTTGTTTGGGTAGTTGATGGCAAAGCTTATAGCCACAATGTTTTTCAGTGCCTGTAAAAGAGTAAGGAACATGAATAGTGAAACCTTGTCTGCATTTGCTGATTTCCAGGGCAGAATACTTTTAGGAATGGATTAAACCAATGTGCAAAAAATCATTCCAGCAATGAGAGGAATTCTCTTTTGGATTCCAAATGTTACCTACATGGACACAATAATCCCATAGAGCAGGGATCGTACCTTCATGACTGGGATGCAGAGGAGTTATCTTAAAGATAGGCTGCTTTGTAATGTCTGATCATGTGTACTGAGAATATCTAGACTGTCCTTCTGTAAATGCTGGTTTCATGGGTATCATGCTGAATCAGTGGCTTCAATACTTTGACTGACCTGCAACAAGCATGCAGCGAGTCACGCATACGCATACATACGTGATCTGAGTCAGTGACTCAGTAATACTGATGCCTTTGGAGGATCTATAGCAACTAGGCATCCAGCCTTTTTTTTAAGCTAGTCAGCCGCTATATTTTTCTCAGTACTGGTTGAAGTGAATATAGGTTTCAGCTGTAGGACATATTCAGCCTGATGTAAGTTATATGTATTTGTCCTGTGATCCTATGTGACAACTGTCAGATTAAAGAGTACAAATCAAATTTTGTGCCACTCTGATCTAAGCTGGTTGATGAAGCAGGAGGTTGAGGGCCTGGGGCGTGGAGTATATTGCCCTAACACCCTGTAGAAAATAGCTCATCCTGTTTGAGTTGAACAAGACTGGAACGACACTTTGATTTCTGATGCACTTTGGATGCAATGTTAGACACAAAAATTAAAGGATAAGTTCACCTTTTGTAACTTGTTACAACTGTACTTAGGGTGTAACATGTAAGATGTTACTGTACAGCAGTTGACCTCTCCCCCCTCCCCCGTAACAGAGGGCAGGGGTCCCTCTACCTGCATCTGCTGTCACATTTTAAAAACAGTGCAGCTGTGTGGGGCTCCACTCACCCAACCACATCATTCATGTACAGCAGTCTGTGAATGAATGAACTACAGATCCCAGCTTCCACCACAGCAGATGGCGCGTAGTTTGCAATAAACTATGAAGAGTGGTGATGAGCGCCCTTGTAGTTCTTTGCTCTTCCTGCACTTGAGTAACTGCCTGCCTGTATAAGAGGTACGGGCAGACAGTTGTACCGAGTGTTTGCAGGAGCCTGAAATCGCACCTACCACACTGATCCCAGGTACAATGCTATAAATGCACAATTTATTATTTTTTCTAATTTTTTTTTGTACAAAAGATAAACTTAGCCTTTGAATCTATCTAAGCAAAGCTACAAATTCAGTTTATGAAGTATTGAAGTGTATCTAAAAGAGAACTTTTTTTTCCCTTTTGGATAGAGTAAGGAAGGGCTACAACCCCTCCAGCTTTTTGGGTTTTTTTTTTTGCCATCTGTGTCCCATTGAGAGATATCCCTTCACTTCCTGTCCCATAGCCAAAATAGGAAGTGAGAGGAAATCCCTCCAAAGTGAGGGAACCCTAGTTTGTCACCAGAATTAATGTGCCCATTGGAAGACTCCCACTCTATTACAATTCTGATGTCAACCCAAAATTTGGGATTTTCTTTTACTTTCACTTTCGATAACAGTAAACAGGACAAATAGAGAGAATGAATCTCCCTAATGGGGCACAGAAAGCGATAAAAACCTGACAGATGTTCTAATCCCTCTCCACTATCTAAAACTAAAAACAAATTGCCTTTAGTTACACTTTAATATTGTAAAGAAAACTTAAACAAGACTTAAGAGGCTATTCTGCTGGGTACTGACAAACAATGCACAGCTTACCTGTTCTGTGTAAACGCTGATTTGTTCATCTGTGGTTAAACTAATGAGAAAATCTTGCAAACACCCAAGCTCCTGCAGTGAAAAAACACAAGAGACTTTTTAAGTAGTCCTGAAAAAGTAAAATTCTTACCACTGTTTTACTACATATAACTACAATATATTCAGGTGTTTAAAAGTTCCAAATGTAATAAATGTAACAACCCTGTTTGTTACTTTTAAAAGAATAAAAGTGAAATAAAGGGTCAGCATGGCATTAAAGCAGAGTTACAGTCTCAGAAAAAAAAAAATTAAAAGTCAGCAGCTACAAATACTGTAGTTGAGGGGGGAGAGTGCCAACAAGCAGAATTTCCCCTTTTGGGTGGAGTTACACTTTAAAAAGGAACTGAACTCTGGAAAATTTCCCAAAAGACAGGGAGAGGGAAAAGTAACCTTCAGCTGATCTTTCCCCATTACTGACTTGTTTTGTACTGTGTCTATGTAGAGGAGGCAGTCTTGGTAGAAGACAAAAATAAAAATGCAATTGGCGCAAGATCTCTCTGTACCCACGCTGATGTGAGAGATCAGCAGTGCCTGCCCTGGATCCCGGTTCTTATCTGCGCCGCGACTCCCGGTTACTGCGCCTGCCATCCTCGCCTCCTCCTGTGGGACCCACCTACAGCGCCAGCCGTGCAACACCTTGGCATTGCAGCCATCCATTTGTGAGGTGCAGCACAGATGACATCCTCCTCCTTATATATTGATGCCTGATATCTACCCACTTCTTGTGAGTTTTTATAATCTTGTGTGCAATAAACTTTTATATTCATACTGCACTTAGTCTGGCGCACTTCTCTTTCTTCTCCAGTCTTGGTAGAAGCGGGCTTTGCTTCCTTGTTTTAGACACTCCAGCAAGAACAGGAAGCAGCACACCAATGACATCACCAAATCCTCCAAAACGTTCACATGCATCAGTCTCTTAATCTCACAGTGAAGATACATATGGGGCTGTAGGCACAGGAGTGTCTAGGCAAGCTTAAATACCAGAATACCCTACACATTGGCAGTATTTTATTTTTAATTTTTTTTAAACTTCCCAAGATTTATTTCTTATGCAATAACAGTACCCCAAGAAATCTCTTGCTTACATTTGCACGGTTCTCTGCAATGAAGAATAATTCAGTAAGTGCTCTGTGTATGGGGAGGAGGACTCCACAGCTGGCTGCATCTTGATGAGCAGTACTCTCCATAGATGTGAAAACTGGCCACAATGGTCGCAGCAGTTTGAAATCACAGTCCCTAATAAAACAGAAAAATTGCACAACTGTTGTAAAATGAGAATGTGGCCTAGGCAAACACAAAGCGTTTTATTTCTTGGTGTCTAAGAAAGCTAAATGAGAAAATAGCAAAAAGATGTCCTAACCACTTGTTTACATAAAAACCTACTTTTTAGACAAGGAAGCAAATGGGTCATAGGACTAGATGTACTAATTGGTACTTGTGCTCTCAGTTTTCAAATAGAGCTTGTAGTACATGCAAATTCATTTTTCCTGAAAAGGCATTTCTTCTATGGGAAGCAAAGCCTTCATAAGTAATGATCAAATTAGGTAGCCAATAAACATTTATAACTGTAACATGTAAATAAAAAAAATAATGGTATACCATAAATTCTATTTATTAGAATCAACTGAGTGACACGGGAATTTAGAGATGTTTGTGTTATACTGCAACCTGTGGTGGATTGGACACAGGCAAACAAAACATTGTCATCAGCCAAGGATAACCCCTCATACTCCCACGCATTTCTTTGTTTTGTGGTAAAGCAGTAACAAAAGCATTATCATTAAAACAGAGGTGTTGAGCATCTGTACTTCAATGGATTATTTATAGCAAGTAGAAAAATCCACAATTTTCTCATTCATTGAGGGACACAGCAGAGACTGTTGGAATGTCCAAAAAGCCATCCAACTGAGGGGTGGGCAACAGAACACTGAAAGGCCATCAAAAAAGAGCCACCTAGAGCACTTTGCATCCAAAGTTGACATGGAATGAGGCCTAAAAAATAACATTATGAAACTTAGAACATGTGAGCGAAGACCAGGTAGCAGCCTTGCAAATCTGGGAAACTGTAGCCTGATCCCAAAAAGCCTAAAAAGTGCTCACAGATCTAGTACCTTAGATTGTACGCCACTTGAGGGTTAGGGTCTGATGTGAATGTACAAAATATATGTAAAGCGCTGCGTAAAATTGATGGCGCTATATAAGTACTTGTAATAAATAATAGTAGAGTGTGCCTTTACAGGAAAAGTTGGAGCACAAGTCTTGGGACTTGAGCTTTAATTCTTAAGCTTGAATTATGGTCTGTCTGAGCTATCAAGAAATCGTGAAGCAGGAAACAGGTTTTCCCTTACTAAGACCATCAGGAAAACGTCAGTCCTTCTAATTGAAGCAGTAGCTGTGAGGCAAAAGCATACAGAACGCAATACATCCAGACAATGGAGGGAGCTCTCCTGATGAACAGAAGCTGGACAGGGGGATGAATGGCCAAAAACTAACCTTGTAGGAATAAAACTCTCGGCATTAACTTCACATTCTCCTTGTATAAGTCCAGCAAAGGGTTCTTTACAGAATAGGGCTGCAAGTCCAGACAATCACCTTTCAGAGGTGATATCAACAGGGAAGGCAACCTTGTGAGTGACACTGGAATGGAATATTCCTGATCAGTTGAAAAGGTGTTTTTTTGAAGTGCTGAGAGAACCAAATTCAAATCCCACTGACACACGGAGAGTGCTCAGAGGAAGCCAAGTGGAAGACTTGCACAAAAGTTTTGATTGAAGAATGTGAAGCCAGCAGTCTCTGAAAAAAAAAAAATCTTGAAAGTGCAGACACCGGATCCTTGAATGTGGTGAGAGCCAAACGCTAGTCCTGGTCCATCTGCAAAAATGTGTTCCAAAAAATCCAGGATTTGTTCCAAGGAGAATTTTTCAGGGTGAAAGATCCCTGTCTCACAAAAAACTAGGTATAGTATACCTTCCATGTGTGGTGACAGACTTTGCAGGAAGTAGACTTCCTAAATGTCAACACTTTGTCTTGGCCAGTCCAGAGCTTTCAAGGTCACTGGAGTGCCTCCTATCTCCATTCCACAAAGCAGACAAGAAAGAGGGAGATGCAAAACCTCTCAGGGAGGAAAGACATAGATAAGGTTGTACTTATGCCATGGAGCCACCACAGCATCCACTGCTTCTATCAGAGGATCCCTGTACCTGGAGACAAATCTGTTCAGTTTGTCCTAGAACCTGGAGGTCAGGTGGTCCACATCCGGCGTTCTTCACTTGTGACAGAGTTCCTGGAACACTTCTGGGTTTAGGGACCACTGCCCCAGATTTGGATGCTGCCAGCTGAGCAGTCTGCCTACCAATTGTCTACAGGTGGGATTTAAACTGTGCACAAGGCTGGAACATGGAATTCTGCCCATGACAGGATCCGCTGTACTGTACTACCTCTCTTGCAATGATGAGACTTTTGCTTTCTCTCTGAGGATTAATGCATGCAACTGCTGTGTCATTGTCTGAATAAATATGGATTGGATGATCTTTTTTGCCAGAATAATAAGCACTGCAGGGACAACCAAATCACCTCAAGTTCCAGAATCAAAAGGGCAAAAACAATACAATGGGACTTTTGAGGCACACCATTACACAATAAAATTAAATCTTATTTTATCCATATATAAAAAAAAAAAAAAACCCAGATCATATTACAAGATCAATTTCTCTAAAATTGTTGCAGCAGTTTAGGATAGTAAAACATATATATCACTCATAAGAAGCATCAAATTCAAGGAGTAATATATCAGAAGGTGGTCCGACACGTTTCTCGGATACAGTCCACTTCTTCAGGAGCCACTCTATACATCAAAATTCTAAGAAATAACAGTGCTGAAGATTAATACAAATGATCTAAATTGAATCAATAATAAACAACATCCCATTGGAAAGTTCTAAAAAATTGTCCTAAAGTACCCAAGAGGGGGAAGGGGGAAGACCAAGGTTGGGACACCCAGTGAAGACCCGTAGGCAGGGTACCAAGATTCCCCTCAAAAAAGGGAAGACCCTCCTTCCTTTTCTTTCATCTTATTTTGGGATCGTGGTACCCTGCCTACGGGTCTTCACTGGGTGCCCCACCCTTGGTCTGCCCCCTTCCCTCCCCCCCCCCTTTTTTTCCCCCTTGGGCACAATTTTTTTTTATAGAACTGTCCAATGGGATGATGTCTATTATTAAAATTTAGATCATTTGTATTAATCTTTATCACTGTTCTTTCTTAGAATTTCGATGTATAGATTTGCTCTTGAAGAAGTGGTCTTTGTCCAAGAAACGATTCAGGCCAGCTTCTGATATATTACTCCTTGAATTTGACGCTTCTTATGAGTGATATATATGTTTTACTATGCTAAGCTGTTGCAACAATTGATGTTGTAATATGATCTGTTTTTTTTTTTATATATGGATGAAATAAAATGTAATCCTATTGTGTAATGGTGTACCTCAAAAGTCCCATTCTATTGTTTTTGCCCTTTTGATTGTGTGTTATATTTAGGGATGTGGCACATTTTTTCCTTTTTTTCATCATTTAAGTTCCAGAATGTTGATAAAGAGTCAAGATTCCTCTGAGGTCTACGTACCCTGCACCTACTAGGTGCCCCAAACTACTCCCCAGCTCTACAGGCTGGCATCTGTTATATGGACCATCCAGAATGTTGGAAGGAATGACTTTCCTGACTACAGAGAATGATTTCTGAGCCACAAAGCCAGGAACAACTTGGTCTTCGGTGCCAGACAAATCAGTCTGTCCAAGGACTGAACTGACTTGTCCCAAGATAACAGGATGTTGTGTTGTAGGGGTCTACAGTGGAACTAGGCAAATTGGAATGCCTCAGAGGAGGCTAACTTCAGCCCCAGGATTCCCATGTAGAACAACCAGAATGAAGGTCTGAGTCTGGGAGCACAGTGCAACATTACCTGCTAGAACCAACGCCAACTGTTTCCTCAGCAGGAGGTTGTATAGATATCCCAAAATATGGAAGCCCTGAGTGTGGAGTGTAAGTTGGAAGCACCTCCTGTTGCAGTGGGACTGTTCCCATGTGTCTAGAGTCAGACAACGTGCACCACAAGAAACATGCTCAGTATCTGAGCCTAGGCTACTTATGAATCTAGCTGCTTGGGCAGCAAGTGTAGGGTCAAGCAGCCAAAGATAACCAAATCACTGTAGGAAAGGGGCAGGGATGAACCAAGGAGAAATTCACATGTCTCAAAGTCAGAATCAGCAAAAGGAAGGTGCTTCACCAATGCTGAAAAGGGGGAAAGAGTGCTAAGAGTAAGCACAACCATCCACCCAGCAGATGATGCCAGCACTCAATCCCTTCAGCATTAGCCCTTTTGTGGTAAAGCCAACAGAAAGTGGAAATTCTAACAGTCCCATTGAGTTAGTAGTGAGGTAGCTCCCAATGCATAGCCTACACAGCCCAAGCATAAACAGCGTCTTCAGAGACAGGGTCACTCAAAAGCAATGCCACGTTCTAGAAATGGTTCAGCAGCTTATATTTACCAGCACATGTATGGCTGGAAAGCACCACAATGCAGAGCCCAGTTCCCCGAAGGTCAAATGCCAGAGAAGCCCTACAATGTTTAGTCCAGCTGGGTCCAGGTACAGCACTTCAAATCAGGGTGAGGAATGGCCAATCTGGATAACTGCATATAGCCCAGTTCAGCAGCAAGGCAGCAGAAATTCTGATTGAAGAAAAAGTGTAGCTAAGAAAAAAAAAAAGGGATTTTTTTGTACTCACCATAAAATCCCTTTCTTGGAGTTCATTGATGGACACAGCATCTCCTTTTTATCCATAACACTAGGACACTAGGCACAAAAAAAATGACTTGGCACCATCTATGGGCAGTCCTCTCTGGGTATAAAACCCCCTCTCTGCTATAGGCCTCCAATTAGTCACAAACAGTGTCAAAGGAGAGAGCTCCTGCTGGAATCATACCTCTAATGCTGCTAGGGTAGTGCCAGAATGGATATCAGGGAATGGGAAGCCAAAAAGACACTGAGGCAGCTCATCATAGAATTGGAAACAAAGCTCTAGTGTAGAAAAAACATGGAAAGAAGGCGCCTCTAAGTGTAGCATTGGCAGTTTAATTCAGATACAAGTCAGTCAGGCATGACAGGCTCATCATAGTAGTAATCCCTAAAGGTTCCTGGTGATGTGGGATAGGGGCTGTCCGGCAATCCAGCGGCAGTGGGGCCTATGGAAAGCAGGAATGTAGGAACCATGACGACTGTCACACTTCCGAAGCCAGCGTGGGGCATATACGCCTGCAGTGACTTAAGATGGGGCCGGTAAAGCGTTTCGGAGCGTGCGCAGAAAGCTCTTTCATGATGAGCCTGTCATGCCTGACTTCTTGTAAGTGTAATTTTAACCTTGTATGTGAATTAAACTGCCAATACTGCTCTTTGAGGTGCCTTCTTTCCATGCATTTTCTACATTAGTGTCAAAGGAGAAATCTCCCCAGAAGGGTGGGTGCTGTGTCAGTCAATGAATTTAGAGAAAGGGATTTTATGGCGAGTGCAAAAAAATCCCATTTTCTCTTATGTTCGCTGATGGACACAGCATCTCCTTCTTATCCATAACAAAGAAGGAATGTCCCCAAGCAGTGCCATAATGAGGGATGGGCAAACTGATCAATGGAGAAAGAAAAACCCAGGGCAACAAGCCAACACTCCGAAAGACCTCAAAGAGGGTGCCCAGGAACTCCAAACAGCCACTTGAAAAACTCAGCAGCCAAAACTAGCATCAGAAGATGCCAACACATCAACCCTATAGAGCTTGGTAAACGTGTGCACAGACAACCACGTCACTGCTTTGCAAACTTGAGAAACAGATGCCTGATGTTGGAGCGTTTAGGAGGCACTAACCGCCCTAGCGGAGAGCGCCGTAACCAGAAAGGGAGGTTCCCGACACCGTTAATAGCACAGGGCCTGTACAACTGTCTGTCGAATCCAAGAAGAAATAGAGGCTTCTAGGTCCTTCTTCAGACCTTCCGTGAAAATGAAGAAAGAATCGGACCTCCGAAATGTAGCTGTTACCAAAAGGTACATGAGCACCACATCCAGGTAGTGCAGTGTCACCTCTTCAGGGTTCGTTGGTCCAAACACAGGGAAGGAAGGACCTCAAAAGAAAATCTTTTTTCTACTTTTGGTAGAAAATAAGGGGGAGGTCGAAGTACCACCTTGTCCTTGTGCAAAACCATATAAGGCAGATTACAGGACAAAGACGCCAACTCTGACAACCGCCGTGCAGAAGTGATTGTGAAAAGAAATGTAACTTTTTGCGAAACTTAAAGTAGGGCTATATCCCGAATGCTCTCAAAGGGAGGCTTCTGAAGAACCGACAGCACAAAATTCAAATCCCACGATGGAAAAGGGGAGCGCATGGGAGGGACCACATTTCAAACCTTCTGAATGAACATACGAACCAAAGAATGCATAGCCAAGGGTCATTGAAAGAAAACAGCCAGAGCAGAAACTTGATCCTTGATCATACTCAAGCAAGCTTATGATCCACACTATGGTGAAGGAAGGCCAACACCCGAGCCACAACAAAGGAATGGAGATGGAACCCCAAGGCTTCACACCAACCAATACAGGCTCTCCAGGTGTGATGATAAATCTTCCGGGAGGTAGACTTACGGGCCTTTAACATAGTCGGTATCACTGAGCCAGACAACCCCTGTCCCGCAGAACCTGGCCCCTCAATAGCCACGCCATCAAAGCCAGTGATGGTAAAGCAGGGTGGAAGACCGCCTTTGAGACAGTAGGTCTTCCCAGGGAGAGTCCGCTACCAATCACACCACGTTGGCATACCACAGACAAGGCCAGTCCGGAGCCCAAGGATGACTGGGATCCCTTCGGCCTCTATCCTGGGTAGTAGATGAGAAATCAGATGGAGGGGTAGGAAGGCATAGATGAGAGTGTACTGATCTCACGGTGCCACTAGCGCATCTGTTGCGTCTGCCAGCTGATCTGACGATCTTGCCACGAACCGTGGAACCTTTTGAGGTGGCGTAAAGCCAGCAGATCCATGTCCAGTGTCCCACAGCGAATGCAGAGCTGATGGAATATTTCCAGTTGTAGGGACCACTCACCCTGATCCAGCGTCTGAAGGCTGAGATAATCCGCTGGCCAGTTTTTAAGGCCTGAAATGTGTATGGTAGACAGAGCCTGAACAACCCTCTGCAGAATGTGAGATGTCTCCAGCACCGCTGCTGCACTTCTAGTGCCCCAGATGATTGACATACGCTACTGCAGTGGCTTCGTCCAACTGAATCCTGGTCAGCAGACCCGACAGGTGGTCCGTCCAATGTGCCAGTGACAACCTGATCGCCTGAAGCTCCCGGATGTTGATGGGTAAGCACGTTTCCTGTGGAGTCCAGCGACCCTGAGCTGAGTCCGACCCCAGGACTCCTTCCCAGCCCAACAGGCTGGCATCTGTCATGACCACTGTCCAGCGAATGGGAAGGAAAGACTGCCCGGTCTATAAGCAGGAGACTTCATCCACCAAAGAAGGAAGGCCCTCGTCAACCGCTCCAGGTGAATTTTAATGTTCAAGGAGACGGAAGCCCTTTTCCATTTTGATAGGATTTCTTTCTGCAAAGCTCTCGTATGAAATTAGGACCTTGGTAAACACCTGTGTTGCTAGACCAATTGGTAATGTGCATCCCCAATAGCAAAACGTAGGATGCGCAGATGCCCGAGCCAAGGCTGCCAAGGGGACAGGCACCACAAGGGGACATGCACCACATCAGCTGCCCCCGAAGAGTCCTCAATCTTTAGTAATTCACGCACCAAAGCAGTAAGTGCCGCTGCCAATGCCTTCTCCTGTGTGGCTACAGAGGCAGAGGACCCATCCTCCTCATCCGAGGAATCAGGGGATGCGTCATCAGGATCCGTAGAGGCCGGATCCGGTTCGGTCTCAGAATCGTCCGAGGACGAATGTAGGGGGCACGTCTTGCACAGCTTGTGCCTTCCCGCCACCTCCACACGGGACACAAACTAATCCAAGACGACCGATGTGTCAAGGGGAACCGAGGGACCTGAGACCTCCAGGGGGGGGCCCTAGAGATGCAGCATGCTCCTGGGATTCCATGGGACCAGCCCCTCCAATAGGCACAAATGCAAAAAGGTGACCCCTACAAGGGCAAAGTCCAGAAGACCACCCCCAGGGAGTGCCAGAAGGTAAACAGGAGAGAGAGACCCCCAGGGAGGACTCACCACCAGCAGGAGCTGCCAAGGTGCCCACGTATCACTGCTTCCTGCACAAGAGACGATCCGAGCAGTGCCCCCACAAGCCAGAGGTGCAAAAGGATTTCTCGGCAGCGGGCTATGAGAAAATGGCAGCCAAGGACTTTCCCCAGCCAGCCTCCGTCACCTGAGCTTCTCAGACACCAACAAAATGGCCACCGCAACAGACATTAGAGGCTGCCAGCAGAAAATACTGGGAAAATGGCCACCGTGGCTACAGTATCATGGCTGACGGCCGTCTGAGCCACAGGGCGACGCAGCCCACGCCCCCCAAGGTAGGCTAGCCAAACAGCACAGGCAACCCCCCAACGCAGGGCAAAGCCCTAGCCCCAGTTTCACCCAGAGTGCACCGCAGGAGGGAAGGGGAGGCAGGCTGAGTGGTGGCCAGACACTACCAGGGGCTGGTTAACACACAGGCACCTGGCCCAAGCCCACACCATCACAGTGACTGGTCGCGACCTCCCCACCAGGTTATCTAGGGTGTTGTTGCATGGGGAGAAGGGGGGGGGGGGGGGGGGGGTTGGGTAGGGTGATAGGGGACCCTGTAGGACCGACCAACCACCCCAGGGAGCACTCGCCACCCCACACCGCGTCCTGGGAAGGAGGGGAGGGGGCACTACTTACCAATCCAGAGGAGTATGCGGGTGAAGCTCCCGTAACAGATCCTCCTCTCCACCGAAGTGGGGGGCTGTTGGCCAAGGGTAGACTGTGACACGGACTATAGGCGCCCGGTCATATGTGTCCCTGTGAGACATTTAATTGTTTGGCCGTCCCGTTCCATGGAGCATAGTCGCGGCTGACCGTGCGCAGAGCTGGCGGTCTGCGAGCACTCACTGGTCAAACTAGGGTGACAACTGAATCTAGATTATCCAGCCCGTCTGTTGATAGTAGATCTCCAAAGGAACGCAAACTTCCACAAACAATAAAAAGAGGAAGGAAAACTTCACGTACATACTCCCAAGACACTAGGCAGAAAAGACTGGAGTCCTATAGCAGAGAGAGGGGGTTTTATAACCAGAAAGGACTGCCCATAGGAGGTGCCAAGTCATTTTTTTCTGCCTAGTGTTCTACTCCTGTAGGTGTAGCTATAAAACACTACTTTGTTATGGATAAGAAGGAGATGCTGTGTCCGTCAATGAACATAAGAGAAACTAGACATTTCTTAACAGAGTGGACAAAAGGCATCCTTCTTCTTAGGTCACTAGCAAAAAAAAACAAACACATTGGGAGTAGGAGAGAGTGTCCTGGGCTGGCCCACAATTTGTTTCGTTTCCTAATCCTTTTGCAGGTGGCAGTGTACCCCAACAGTCTCTGAATTAATGTGTCCCACAATAAATGAAAAAGAAATGTTAACAGATTTAGAATATCATATTCACATATATATGACAAATACAAGCAATTCTCTTTAACAATGCAGACATTAGATTACATTGTCTTGGGAAAAAGTACAGAGAATAAAATCCAAGGCCATTTTTAATCATAGTTGTTTCAAGAAGTTTCATACCTTACAGGACCAAGTTGTAACAGCTTTAGTAATAAGTGGATTGCCTTTAATCGCTGGTGGCCTGTCTGCCGACAAGCCACATCCACCTGCCATTCCCATATGCTGGGCAGCGGAAGGTGAGGCACAACTCTCTGATCAGACAGCATCTGCTTTAGAATTTCAAACCCTAACAGAGGAAATAATAAAAGTCTTAGAACAAAGAAATAAGTTACCTTACAAGGTGAGACATAAAACTAAAATGTTTTCAGCAAACTAATTAAACATGATTAATTTTCATGCTGTGGTGGGGGAAATTGCTTTCCTGTATTTCTAACAATGCAGGTTCCTCCCAGGGGATCATCTGAGCTGAGGATTCCATACACAAACAATAGCATTTACTTAGGTAAAGACAAAAGGCACAGAAGGCCACCTCTACTAGTCACATCTACAGTGCAGACATGTAAGCCTCAATCATACATTAAATAAAAAATGTCATAATACGGTATTAATGTTCAAAAGAAGCCAATACAGATTGCGATATAAACCACAGTGTTTTCTGAGTCAATGAGCCACAACAAGCACATAACCAGTAAAGCCAAGTTTTTTGGGGGACTTAAATTATTAAAGCTGATGACCTGGCATGAGAGCCAGGCAAATTAAATTTGCAGAAAGGTTTTATATTACCTTTAAAAATCTTATACCAGTAAAAGATTTTTTTCAATTTTTTGAACAGAAATGATAAGAGAACCCAAATCAAGTTTTATTTCTGCTTATTTGATGGGTGTCAAACAAAAGTGAGGGGAAATCTCAAAAGGACTCTGGTGTATTTCAAACCTGATGGGATGCCACATTCATATAGAGAAATTCTACCTTTACACAAAAATGAGCTAACCTGTCTGAAATCGTCCTCGATGTCCTGCAGCCACAGTAAACTTGTAACCCCACTCTGTAAAGCTCATATCAGATGTAAACCGATAGAATAAGGTATCGCCTGTATTTCAGAAAAGAAAAACATACATTATAAATGCTGGACAAAACAAATTGATAGCTGTTACCCAAAAGAAATAACTTATTTGCCTTACATGGAAGAACTAAGAACACTCTGTAACTTTGCTGCTGTTTTGCTTAATTGCCATATTGCTTTGTGTAGTTATTATGAAAAAAAAGATAACATATTCATGGTTGGTTGATTTCTTCTCTGGAAATACTGAAGTTCATCTGTGTATTAGAAAATAAGCCACCATGCGAGGCTGTGGAGGTAACGATGCTATATATCTGGTGGTCATGTACGAAGCACGAAGGCTCTGAATTAGGGCTTATTCTTTAATACACACATTTTTCCATTGTAACCCGCATCAAGGACCCTATGGAAAAATAATTATCTTTATATTTTATGCCACCAAATAAACCATAGCCCATGGATAGCCCACTCACAGCCTAATCAAAGAGCCCCAAGCTTATGATAATTACCAGAAGGTTGGCTAACCCCTTAAGGATAGGGGATTCCTCTTGCCATCTTGCCCCCTTCACCCCCCACCTCCCCACACCCACTAGTCCTACTGGACTTTCCATAGTCTTTATTACTCTTTTAAATCAGGAGGAAGCTACTTAAGACCCTATTTAAGGTCACCTCTAATCTTACTTTGCTAAATGTGTAAAGTAGTATCAAAATGTCTTCCAAATAAATTTCATAATTGAAATGCCACAGGATATCCCGCCCAATATTGTTAACCGTATTTAGTTTAATTAGAATAGGGTCACATATTATTTTGATACTCCAAAATTATTATGTGAACCTTTTATTGGCATTGTACTGTTGAACTGAGTATGTGTATCTATTTATCTTATATATTTATCTACATTACTTTGTACTTGTTAAAACTTCAACAAAACATGTTAAATAAGAAAATAAGCAGCCGCATCACCTTCATTTTAAGTGTTTTCTGTTCCAATAATCATCAGAAACCTTTATACACTGTATATATGTATCCATTACTATCATTTAAATCTTATATTACCGTGTGTATGAAACATATGTAAATTATTTATAGTAGCAGCACAATGCACAGGACATCATGTTTTATGTGGCACAGCACATATGAAGCTCATATGCATTTTTAAAGCAAATTGGGGTGCAATTCATAATGAAGCAGCACACCATTCCATATTACCACAGCAAAGCAGTATGAATGGTCTCCAAAAGGCAGAAATTCCTCATCTATTTCAATCAAAATGACCTCCAACTGTAAAGCAGTGTTAAAAGAAATGAAGGAGACTACATGCACAATTTTAGCTTCCCCTGTGTTCTGCAAAGGCATTGCCCTTTGCAGTATTTCTTGAGGAATTTGCTCTCATGGACACCTTTTTCTTGCTGGTGCGAGTTTTTGGGGCTTGGTGGAAAAACTCAGCCCTTAGGGTATCTGTAATGGTGGTCCCCTTTAATCCTTTCAGCTAAACATCTACACTTCATATCTCATTTATGTGATCAAAACTTTTTATTATGTTAAAAAAAGAAATCCTTTGATTTTCAATTAAATGCTTTAATGTATTATATAAACACATCTTTATAGTCATACTCACCAGGAAGTTCAAAGTCTATCCACTTTTTAGGAAGCCCACTAAATCTATGAAGATCTTGTTTAAAATCAGAGGAGCTTGAGATTACCAATTCATCACAGCCTTCCTCCGTGTTACACATTGGATCAAATTTGATTGACAAGTAAATTGCACCGGGGATGTGGACTTTGTCCTGAAGAATAATAGCATCATGCTCAGAAAATACATATACACGGTTACACAATAATGACCAAATAAATTAAAACATACTTATTAGCTATTAAGTTGCTGTCAATGGCTCAAAACTTTACTGGTGGCGCAGAGCAAGAAATTGTGGCAGGTAAATAATGTGTGAAATTACTGCAAAGAAATTGCAATTTGTGCTCAATTATTTTGTAGTGACAATAGTTGATGATTACTTGCACCCGCACATCAAGGTTTTGACTTCGTATGTCCAGGACACAATGGATTTACTAATTGATGGGATTTTTATCTCTGAGGGGGCATGGTTGGTGGTTGTAAGATGTGGAGACCCTCTACAACTCGATCCCCCATGAGTTTGGGGGTTGGGTTATGGAGGGCTTCATTTCAGAGAAGGGTGTGTCGGCTGTTCAGTACAATAAATTAATCTTAAATTTGTTGCAGTTTGTTCTGATGAACAATATCTTTATGTTTGAGTGCTCCCACTACCTCCAGGTGCAGAGAGTGGCGATGGGGAACTGTTGTGCCCCATCGTATGCGAACCTGTACCTGGTGGGAAAGGATCTTCAGGAAAGCCTGAGTAAGGTGCTGATTTGGAGCAGATTTATCAATGATGTTTTCATGATTTGGACAGGCTTGTTTGTTGAACTACAGGAGTTCATGACAATTTTGAAACATGACAAATACAATCTCAAGTTTACAATGAACTGCCACCAACAGTTGATTAGATTTTTGGATATTCAAATCTTTGTCAATGCAGATGGTAGCGTAGGTTTCACTCTCTTTAGGAAAACCTCCTTTGGAATAACGATTCTACATGCCACCAGCTCCCACCCGGCACCTTTGGTATTGAGTATACCATATAGCCATTATCTTCATCTAAAGAGAGATTGTACTAGACAGGAGTATTTTCAGACTGAGGTAAAGGCCCTGCAAAGGCACCCGATGGAGCATGGCTACAGTAAAATGTGCCTCAAAAAAACATCGGGCCAATAGTCAAGATAAACAAGTTCTGATTCATAACAAAAAATTGAAATCCAACAAAGTGTTAGGCTAATAACATAGTATTCAGGTCAACAGAGGCAGATTAATCAAACAATGGATAAATACTGGCATTTGCATGTGGCAGCAATGATATTTCCAGGGCTTAATATAGTGGTATATAGGCCTTTTCTGTAGTTGGTATGACCCTTTAATGCTGTTCCCCCAAAAATACGCATTTTAGTACTGGCCGCTGTTTATACTGTGTATTTTTCACAATTTTTGACATTTGAGAGGTTTTCCTGAGGGGGCTTCCAGGGCGATGTTCCTGTTGTAGCGACCCTTCTGAGTTTCATCTAAGTTCAACCTCAATGTTTTCAAATTGGTTTGCGGCCAGTTAGGTCACGTTGCTTGGTTTGGTTGTTGTAGTGAATTGTGGAGGACCCACCCCGAACAGTGTTTGGGCAGCGGGATCTTCCAAAATGGCTCCGGTGTGCCACTGACCAGGCGCGTGACGACACTACCAGTGGATGGTTACACACATGTGCGGGGGTCTGAGTTGGCCGTCCGCAGCCGTCTGATGTCACCAGTGGGGTGGAAGGGATATTTAAGTCAGCCACGTGGTAGCTGACATGCTGTGGCCCCAATCCCCAGTGAGTGCCTGAGGCATTCTAGCACCCAGCTTGCATGTAGGGTAAGAGAACTTGGTCAGATCTGGAGCTCTATATTTGGATAGTGCTTTGGGTAGTGATGTTGGATCTTTCCCCCTTGTGTATATTCTCATTTTTTATCTGTATTTTATGTTTGTTGTGGCTATAGGCGTTGTGTTTGATATTGGAGTTTAAACAACTGTTCTACACTCCCTTGGGGCTCATTCAGCATGCACCTTCACTTGCCATCTGTGGGAAGTGAGGACTTCATCTTTGTAACATTGGTATCTTTATGATAGTTCTGTCTTACTGTAGGTAGCAGGACCATTAGTATATATTATTATTATTATTATAATACAGGATTTATATAGCGCCAACAGTTTGCTCAGCGCTTTACAATATAACGGGAGGCAGTATAGCAACAATACAGTGCAATACAAGAGGGATAGGAGGGCCCTGCTCCTTGGAGTTTACAATATAGGACATTGCTACTATACCATTTTTGGTAATGAACATCTTTTTGTTTAGGGAGTCTGAATTAAGGGGTGGCGATGAGTCTGCATATTGGCAAGCTACAGAGAACTTAGTGGGTTTTTGTAGACAAAATAAGTTTAATGTTGATAAGACAAAAGACAGTATACACACACACAAATGCTTTGCCCTGCGATTCTATTTTAACCACCTCCCGCCCGCCATATAGTAATATGACGGACGCAAGGTGGTTCTCTCGTTCTGGGAGGATGTCATATGACGTCAAGCCATTCTCACCACGCATGCGCGGCTCAGGCAGCGTGCAGCGCGGCGATCGGCGGTGCGCTGTGTCCCTCGGACACAGTGGATCACCGATCACGGAAAAAGCCGAAGATGCCGGCTCAGTCATGTGATCAGCTGTGTCCAATCACAGCTGATCACATGTAAACAGGGAAATGCCGGTTATCAGCATTTCTCTCCTCTCGAGCTGTCACGCTGACAGCTCATGAGGAGAGGAGAGCCGGTAATCGGCTTTCCGCGGAGGGGACATGTACCCTGATGATCAGTGTGATGTCAGCTCCAGAAGTTCCACCTGTCAGTGTCCATTGTGTCAGTGCTCATCAGTGCCTCGTGCCAGTGCCCATCAGTGCCACATATCAGTGCTACCAGTGCACATCAATGCCACATATCAGTGCCCATCTGAGCTGCCTTTCAGTGTCACCCATCAGTGCCAGTCAGTGCCACCTATCAATGCCAATCAGTGCCACCTATCAGTGCCAGTGAGTGCCGCCTATCAGTGCCAGTCAGTGCCATCTATCAGTGCGCATCAGTGCCGACTATCAGTGCCTGCCAGTGCCGCCCAACAGTGCCATATATCAGTGCAATGTATCAGTGCTGCCTTTCAGTGCCCATCAGTGATGCCTGTCAATGCCCATCAGTGCCACCTACCAGTGCCAGTGCCACCTACCAGTGCCTCCTCATCAGTGTCCATCAGTGCAGCCTATCAGTGCCCATCACTGTAGCCTCATTAGCGCACATCAGTGAAGGAGAAAAATCACTTATTTACAAAATGTTATAACAAAATCTAATTTTATAACAAAACCTAATTTTATAACAAAATTTTCATTGGTTTTTCATTTGTTTAAGAAAAAATAAAAACCCAGAGGTGATTAAATACCACCAAAATAAAACTCTATCTGTCACAAAAAATGATAAACATTTCATATGTGTACAGTGTTGCATGACCGCGCAATTGTCATTCAAAGTGCAACAGTGCTGAAAGCTGGAAATTGGCTTGGGCAGGAAGGGGGTATAAGTGCCCTGTAGGCTTGTGGTTAAACTGAATGGCTCATTTTAGACGGTAAGGGTTCACATATATAATAACAAGTACAGAGGATAGATGGTATAGCCACCTTTTTGAAAATTATATAAAAAAAGGAAACATGTCAATGCCTCTACCATCTTTGCAGCATATTTTCTACAACTACAGGTGCTATTTAGAATAAGGAGAAGGAACCTCCTAACCCTCTTGTATTGAACTGTACTGTTGCTGTATTGTCTCCATTTATATTGTAAAGCGCGCTGAGCAAACAGTTGGCGCTATATAAAACCTGTATAATAAAAAAAAAATTCACTTAATGGAGCAGATTTCCTCCTGGGATAACTCCACATCTCTTTGCACCTCACTACTTGGCTTATTTTGATGGGCAGCCTCACTGGCCAATAATGCAGCTTAAGATGAAAGGCTAGACTTTTAACTAGTACATTCAGTGTACCCTGGACACTAACAAAAACACTAGCATCCTATAGGTTCCTATATTGTACCAGCAACTCAAGTAAGGTTTCTTTACTTCAGCTTATATTGCAGACCTGTGGCTATTGACAAGGGCAATAAAACAGGACCCTGTGCTTGGTTTATAGAGCCCCAGAAGTCTCCACAGCTGGATTTAACTTTCTGGTTATGCGGCCTGCCCCATCCCAAACACCACAGTGCAACACTACGTTTTTGATCAGTTTATTGCCAGGTCTAAGCTTTGTTAAACAGGAGATGGACCCAAGTTTCTGCAAATAGTGACTCTTAAAGATTCTATATGAGCACAGGCTATTCATGATGCTCCATGGACTCAGCTGTCTGCTGGAATGCAGGGCTTGCTTTTCTTCAAATAAAAAGCTTTTCATTAAAGCCATAAATTTCTATTTTTTCTCATTCATCCACAGAACATTCTTCCAAATGCCTTCTGATTTATTTATGTGGTCTTTAGAAAACTGTAGATGAACAGCAATGTTATTTGTAGTCCATATGAGTGATTTAGTGAGTTTCTACTTACAAACTTAACAAACACCATGGTTGTTCAGTGTTCTTCATATGGAGGACTCACAAAGACTGATATTAGCTAAAGTAAGAGGGGCCTTTTAGTTCCTTCGGTTAACCTGGGAATCTTTTAGACATCCTGGAGTCAAATCAGCTCTTATCTCCCCTTCAAATGACTTGAGAATCCTAGGGGTTCAAATACTTTTCAAAACACACATATATATGTAACTCACGTTCCTAACCCCAGAAACCACTAAGCAGCTCATCCACTCCCTCATCATATCACGACTCGATTACTGCAACTCCCTCCTCACTGGCCTACCTCGCCACAGGCTATCCCCGCTTCAGTCGATCCTGAATACGGAAGCCAGACTCATCCACCTTACCAACCGCTCCGTTTCCGCCACCCCCCTCTGCCAATCCCTCCACTGGCTTCCGATTGCCCAACAGATCAAATTCAAAATCCTAACACTGACCTATAAAGCTGTCCACCATACTGCCCCAAACTACATCACCGACCTAATATCCAAGTACCACCCAACACGCACTCTCCGCTCCTCACAAGACCTCCTTCTCTCTAGTTCCCTGGTCTCCTCCTCCCATGCCCGCCTCCAGGATTTCTCCAGGGCATCACCCATCCTCTGGAACTCTCTACCCTTAATCCATCAGACTATCACCTACTCTCCTCTCCATTAGGCGCACCCTGACAACCCACCTCTCAGGGAAGCCTTCCCCACCCCATGCTAATTGCCGACCTCCTCCACTCTTTCTACCACTCCATCCCCCACAGCTATTTCCTCCTGTACCACTATCCCCTCCCTCCTAGATTGTAAGCTCCAAGGAGCAGGGCCCTCGAACCCCTCGTGTATCACATTGCATTGTTATTGTACTGTCGCATGTACTGTCTCCCATTGTAATGTACAGCGCTGAGAGCAAACTGTTGGCGCTTTATAAATACTGTATAATAATAATAACTCTGGAAAGGTTTCCTCAAATAAATGAGCAAGAATATTATTGACACCTTTGTTTAATTGGGTTCTGAAATAGTTTTAGGATGAGTATGAACGTGCATTGGTGTGATGCGGTGCCATTCTGATGGTTGTGCATTGCTAACATGTTGCACTATTAAAAAAAGAAAATAGTACACACACCATTTTGGTGCCTAAAGCAGCCCATTCAATTCAATGGCCTGCCCTAAAGCAACATGAGTTGACCAACAGAATGGCTCAGGACTGGCAGAGCCAAGAATGAATTCTACATGAAAAGTTAAGAATTGGAAATAAATTCAGCTGCCTAGATCTCTAGATATACTGATCTAGATATACATGCAGCTTTCACTATGTAACCTTTGCTTTTTTTAGCACTTTCTTCATATCCTCAGTTTGCATTTCCCAGGTTTGTGAAAGGTTTACAAAGAATATTATTTAAAGGATATGAAATCTGAATTTGTTCACATTCTTAAATGACCATGCTGTGCATCAACATGGACACAGCTACTGCTCCCACGTTGACATCTCTGTGTGTGCACGGCCACAAATGCAGACAGTGTGCGTTCAGGGCCCTGCACGCGCATGCATGGTTGTAAATTTGGGAGCAGCAGCTGTGTCCATGGAGCCACTGCGTACAAACGGAAATGAATGGGACTGCTTGCCGGGGAATTAACAGAACACTTGTGCATCTTCATGCTGGCAAACACAGCCCTTGCATGGGTGTATGCTGTAGTACGCCAGTGTGAATGAGGCCTAAGTTGAATACAGAAATACTACATGGAAACGTTTTCACAATCCTTTTTCAGTAATATATTATGGATTGAATTACCTCAAATATTGTGTTGTTGTTGTAAGGGTGTTTAGATTCCAGTACTTGTACTGCTGTTCCTGGTTCCTCCATAAACTGACAGGCAGTAACTGCTACTGTTCCAAGCATAATTCCACTACAGCCTCCCAACACCTTCTGTAAAATCTGCAAGAAGTATATTTTTCAGGTGATTAAAATAAGGTATCTGAATAACATAATCAACCAAAATAAGAAAGAACCCAAACCCAACTGTATATATTGCCAACAAGAGAGTGAAAGGGGTTGATTAAATACAAGATGGGCAGTAAATGTGCAAAAGAATGATCATAAATCATAACAGATTTATTTGACTACTCAAAAATGAGAAAAGGTCAAATATGACTGGTTACCTTTATCCAAGAGCATATTAGCACATTAACTCATGAAATAAATCATAACATTGACAAAAAAGGTGCACTACTGTGTACTGTCCATGAGACCATTAAAGCAGAAGCAAACAGAAGCATGTGAAAGCAAAAGATCTGTTCTAAGATCTGCAGAATTAATTTCTTCCTGAATTATAACGAATATTAGAGAGTACTTGAATTCTAGTAATAAATGTAATGCTGTAACTATTTGCAGAAAGATGCATAATTGTACAGGGCATCTTTATCATGCTCAATCTGTTCAAGTTTGGCTTCGACATTCAAAAATTCTTGTATGTAAACCCAATATGTCATATTCCTGATAACGTGCCTGCTGTACCATGTACCTGTAAAAAAAGTATCCTGTTATCTTTGTATTGCTTCCTTTGTGTGAGATCCCTGGTGTTCCTGCCAGTCCCCTCTGCTTTCCTATTTAAAAGCTGACTACACTAAGCAGGAGAACACACTGTGGTCAGTTCTCTAGCTATGCTGGGAACTCAGTGTGCTCTCCTCCAATGATCAGACTTCTGATACGACTTCCCCCCCCCCCCTTCCCCAAAACACACACACAGCTGCTGTTTATCCTCTCCGAGAGGGAATGTTTCTCCTCTCTTGTGCAGAGGGAATGGGATAGTATTTATACTGTGTTTTATATCTAAACACAAATGTTTTGCCGTTATTTTCTATTTTAAATTGAATGGGTTGTTTTACAAGGTGAGGGTTTACAATCACTTTAATGATACCAAGTTACAGGAGGGTTTCAAGTATATGTTACTCTGACATTTCCGATATTCCTGTCAGCCCCCTGCTTTCCTATTTCAAAGTGACCACCCCAAAGCGTACAAGCACATTCATTCCAGAGTGGTCAGTTTTTATTTTTTGTATTCTACTGGGGAGCATAGCCTTTTTATATTTCAGTGGTCAGACGCCTGCTGACACTCCCCTGCATAGCTCTTCACTTGGAAGTTGGAAGATTGGTGTATTGAGGTTTTTCTGACTCCTGCTGACACTCCCCCCCACACAGCTATTCACTGGGAAGATCAGTGTACTGCTGTTCTTCTGCTGTGCTGACATGCCCCCCTGCCCAGCTTCTCACAGTGTATTTATGTCTCTGCCTTTACTGTTTCTGCTCAATCCAAACTGTTGCTGCCATGCTCCACCCTCCCAAGAAATTTTCACCCCCACTTCTGCAGCCAAGAACAAACTTCATGTGGACAAACAAAAAAAAAATATAAAAAAATGTTTTTAAACATATACACAAAATGTTTGCCCTGCAATTCTATTTTAAACTGAAAGGGTTGTTTTAGAAGGTAAGGATTCACATATACGTTATTTGCTAAAGGAGATAATTATAAAATATCCTGAAAAAATGTCATAACGGAAGAAGGAATCATGACCTTGCCTCTCTTACCTTCTTTGCAGAAAGGGCTAAATAAGATAATCAGTAATAATAACCTAAAGTAGAGAAGACCATTGCTGAATCAACAGAGGGGCCATGTCTAGAAATCCTCAAGAGCCCTGGTATGTAAATACTTAGAAGATTTCCTGATGGGATAGCTCCACATCTCTTTGAACCTCACTACTTGGCTTATTAGGATGGGCAACCTCACTGGCCAACAGTGCAGCTTAGGCAAAAAGGCTAGACTTTAAACCCATAGATCTTGGGATTCACCCTAGGCTCACACTTGTGCGGGTTTGTGTTCCGCTTTTGCGCAGGACCAGCAGCCCATTCATTTGAACGGACAGCTGTGCTTGCATTTCCCACAAAAAAGGTGCTTGCACCATTTTAAAAACGCAGCTGCAGGGAAATGGCATGCTTTTGTACCATGCCATTTCCCTGTGGTTCCCGCATCTGCAAATGTGCTGCAGGTTGATATGTGTGGGGGTGCCATTAAGCATGAATGTTAACTCTGCATGTTTCTAAAGGGAAGTGCATTTTGGAGGCAGGAACAGAAGAAAAAATCACTAGCATTCATTAGGTTCCACGGTTGTACCAGCAACTCACGCAAGTTTTCTTTACTTCAGCTTTATTTCAGACCTGTGGCTACTGACAAAGGCAATAAATTAGAGCGGTGTGTATAAAAGTAGGGACCATATCTTCACTGCCTATACTGCTTATTTTAGTCTTGGGTCCTCTGCTTGGTATACAGAGCTACAGGAATCTCCACAGCTGGCTTTAACTTTCTGGTTTTTAGGCAAAGGCATGTCCCATCCCAAATCCCACAATGTTCAGTTTCTAATCAATTTATTGCCAGGCCCAAGCATTGCCAAGCAGGGGTGGGAGCCCAAGCTTTTGCAAATCTTAACTCTAAAAGGTTCTATATGAGCATAAGCTATTCATGATGCTCTGTGGAATCCAAGTCTGTGGCCACAGGTTTGTATGCATGGTGGTTTGGCACAGCAAATACTTCTAATACAGCTCTAGCATAACACATCTATGGAGAGATGCTGTATTTCTGCAACTGAACATTCCCTTTAAAAGAAAAAAAAAAAACAAACATTTGGTTTAATAAGAATGGTCTCTGTAAATGTAAGATGTGAGAGTGTGTTGACATACTGTATTTTAACCTGGTATTCCAAATGCACACTGGCAGAGAAGGCTGCCCTTGAGAAAATAATAAAGGTTGTGCAAAAGTTTGTAGGCTGTAGGTTAGTTTCTTTAAATTCAATTTTCAAGTCCCGTTGTGTCAGCAGGGCAGGCAAAATAGTAAGTGACTCTTCCCACCTTGGAGACTATGTTTTTGAACTACTGCCATCTGACAGGAGGTTCAGAAATATAAAGGTGAGGACAAACCGATTCAAGGAAAGTTTCTTTCCAAGAACTATCAAGGCCCTAAATGGTCATTTTGAATAATATTTTCTAGCTCCAAGTGACTTAGCTTGTTGTTGTGGTAGGGGTTCCTTTTAGGTTTTTATATGGGGGGCATAATGTTCACATGTGTGTATGTTGAGGATGTTATGTTCACATATGTGTGGAATTTTTTATATGATTTAATTGTAATTTGCATTGTAATGACAAAGTATTTATCTTATCTTATCAAGTTGCCATTAGATAAAAAGATACAATTATGTTAGTAAGGTCTCTACCAGAAATAACACAAAATTTTTAATTTATCTACTGTATCCAGATACAAGCAATTCAGTTTTCTAAAGTCTCTACAGAAAGAGTTATAACACAAGAAACAATCTAATGTGAACTGTAGCGTTACTCTGCCTAAAGAACATCTAAATCCATGACCACAAATTAAATATATCACCAGTGCTTATATGCAGTGGCCACGATATAATAGTTGGCTGCCCCCAGGTCTTATACACAATGCCATAGTGCCTATCTACCACGCCGGGGCAGGCGCTAGCTAAGCACAGCAAACTTGCATTTTGGGTTCAAGGTAGAGAACATTTAGAGAGTAGTTAGGGTCAAATCCATGGTCAAAAGGCATGCAGAGTTCAGAGACTAGTCTAAAGTCCAATCTGAGGTCAATAAGAAGGAAAGCCAAACTAGCAGGTAGGGAGAGGATCAGGCAAAGGCAAAGGTCAATGCACGGGAACAAGGAAGGCAAACAGGGAGCTTGAAGCAACATTCTCAAAAGCATGACACTAAGGGCTTAAAACAGGTTTGATCCCCATCATGAGGCTGTGTCTACATCAATCACCCTGCAGGTGGACAGTCAGAAAGGGAGAGTGCAGCTCAGCCAAAACCAGGATGCTGAAATGAGACCAGCACCTGCCATGGAACAGGACGGTTACATGCTCCTGACACTTACTGTAATGTAACTATGGAGAATAGGACAGGACTACATACCTGTCCCCCCCACCCATCACTTTTGTTTGTGACAGATATAAATGTAGCATAGACAGAGAGCACAGGAAGTTATCAGATGTCAAGATTTCTGGCAGGAGGTATTTTTTGCACTTATCCAGCAGATACAACAAAACTCTTTTAATGGTTTATTTAACAGGCCAAATGTGACAGAATAAGAGAAGTTCATTGTTTAAGAATGCACACTTTGAAATTGGTCCCTTAAGCAGCAAGTTTACTGTACTACAGTCACTAGTTACAAAAGATTGCATAGGCAAATATATATACTTCAAAGATCAGAAAACAGTGAATACATCACGCCCTCCCATTGCTGGGTTACAGCCAGCAGAGTAAGGCTCATTCTTGACTGGTGTAACTGTCAGATTGGAGGTGAGGTTGGGTTGTCTAGCAATGGCGACGCCAGACACCACCAGCTATATCAATCATGCGTATCTGGCAGATGTGCCCAATCGACCATTGTGATGCATTCACAGCATTTTTCTAATAAACAGAGGGGTTGCCCCATGCCACCTATCAAAGTTAGTATACTTTATTTTTATTGGAACGCTCTTGATTGTAGCACATATATGACTTTCTTTCATGCAATATTATTGTTTGCTGTGCAATTTTGGTGGAATTATGATGTCATATTATATCAGAGGACAGGGAGTGACACCTCTTTTTTTAAATTTGATTGGTGCACATCACTTTAAATATTTCAGAACCACTGTATGCACCTATCACATGCCTGACAAAGAGGCCCTGGGTGGCTCAAAAACATTGCATTATGTCCTTGTGATGTAATCATTCTCCAATAAAACTTTTGGATAACATTTGATGATCCAGGTGTGCTGGCAAATATGTGCATTGAGGTTCTCTTTACTGAGACACCAAAGGTTCAAAAGCCCTAGGCTGAAAACATTTGTTTATGTAAATAAAAACATTAACAAGTAAAGTGCTTACCACTGAGTCCTTAGCCTTCTTGTTAAATGTTGATCCTGCCAGTTTTTGAGTGAACACCTTGAAGTCTGATGCATAGTATGCACTTTATTAAATTTCGACAGCAGGGATTGTCAACGATTTCATCTTGCAGTCTATTCCCCCAGCATCATCACCCCCATCCTTGGTTACTGCTTCCCTTCCCAGCCCATAGGTTCACAAGGTCATCAGCATGGCCTTGGCTGATAACATCAGCAAAAGAGATGAAACACTAAGGTTTCTCTCAGAAAAAATGCTTTAAATTAAAACTAAAGTCAAAACTTTTTGTTTTAGTTTTGGATAGAGTGGAGAGGGAATAGAACACCTATCAGCTTGTATGTGCCCCCATTAGGGAGATTCATCCTATTTGTCCTGTTTACCATTATCATTGAAAGTGTAAGTAAAAGAAAAGCCCAAATTTTGGGTTTTACCCCAGAGAAGTAAGAGGGGAAATTTTCCAATGGGGATACTAGTTTTGATGACCTGGGGTCCCAAAGGAATTCCCTTAATTTGAGGAGACACAGACTGCGGAAAAAAAAAATCTGACAGGGGTTATAACCCTCCCCTTCTCTATCCAAAATGGGGGAAAAATTTGCTTATAGTTCTACTTTAATGAATGTCCTGATCGATATATGTACAACCAGCAACTGTTTTTATACTCAGAAATTAAAAAGAACCAGTCACCATTAAGGTTATGTTTCTTTTAAAGAGACAAAGGGCTTTGTTGCACTAGCAAATTAGTAGCAGGTATATTCAGAAGCTACAATTCTATCTGTTTTTTTTTCTTTAGCAATTTGAAGCTGGATACATAGTTAATACTGTAACTGACTGGAATACTTAACTTGTGGGCCTAGAAAACAAGGGTGATCTATGAATATCAGCAGCTGCAGATAACATGAGTAGCTACTGAAGCTGGTAACTCTGTGGATATTATTAAACTCTTCTACAAGCCTGCTTGTGTGACATAGGCCAAAGGTTTACATAAAAGTCACTAGTTTCTGTGGAACAATACATATAAAAGAATATAACAAAGTATAAAAAGGAACATTCATAAAACCACTTTACCTTTTCCCACAACTGTTTTTCTTCCAGATGCATTAGCATATTTAAAATATATGTGATATGTGCTGGTCCACTTAATTCCAGGATGTCTTCTTTCAGTGGAACGCCATCAGGCCATTCAGCCAACAAAGAAGCAAGTACATGGCGGGCATACACAACAGCTGTGGCCTCATTCACATGGAACAGGTAATCCCGTGCTGCTATTTTGTTACGAGAATCAAGCTCCTTGCGGAGTAGTATAGAGCTTTTTGTTCGTCTTTGCTTAGCATAGGCAACTTGAAGGTCACTCTCATTTGTTACAATAAGTTTTTGACTAACATGATTGGACTCCTCTGTAGCTTTATCACACTGAACAGGTTTCATCTGCAAGAAGAATAGTTTCAGGCATCACAAGAATTTTTCCCATTTTAGAAATGTGTAGGTGCTTTAAATTGTAGGTGTGGGAAGCAATGCTTTTTACACATTGTTCCACTGCCAAATAACTTCTTTAAGCATAGATAAAGCTTTATATTCTCTATGCATACAAATATTAAAATACCTATACAATTATCTATTTAAATATGTAATTGATTGAGACAGGCAGTGTGCAATCTTTCAGTTACACTGAATACATTTACATCTGTATATCACTTAAAGTGGTTGTAAACCTCTGAAATGAAAAATCAACAGAGCATATCCCTCTATAGCAGCCTTTCTCAACCTTTTTAAACATGTCAAAAAGATCATTATTACTCATCTGAGAGGCAGATGTTGCTCACTGCTCAAGGAACCCCTAGCAACCCTGAAATAACTCCAGGGTTCCACAGAACCCTTGTTGAGAAAGCCTGCTCTATAGCATTGTACTTGCCTCAATCCAAAGCAAGTATGAGTTCTGTCTCTTCTTTCTGCTATTTGTATTAGTTATCCGGACACCACAGAATCTTGGGCGACCCTTCTTCAGAACACAGAAGGCGACTGATAGCCTCAGCTGTGCATGTTTCCCTATGAGACTGTGCAGAGGAGGCTGTGCCATTTCCCTCCACTCAGGTCTCACATTGCACTCAGCACTCCTCTTTGTGTTGTGCAGTGTGGGACATCGGATCCTTGCCCCCTGCCCACTGGATCTAGGAAATAGCTTTTGATCTGTGTGCTTTAGAAGACTGTAAATAAGTTAGGGCTTCAGATAAACAGGTATAACTTATGTATGAGGATTTGTTTCGTCTCTGTAATTCACCCAAGGCTAGTCAATTCAGTGGGTGTATACGTAAAGATTTACAACCACTTTAAAGGGAAACGTTTAGACAATTATATCATATCAGTTTATTTTTAAAAATGTTTAAGACGTTTTTAACCTGTTTTTGTATTTTTACACTATTGTTATGCAATGTTTGTTTTACAAATAATGACAAAGAATTCCCCTGAGCACTGTAATAAGGCTTGGGTCATTGCTGATGAGTCGTCAATCCCTGTACCTAAAACACTTTAAACAGTATTTAAAGATTGATTTGCCAAATATATAGTGTGTTTTTAGCTTACCATTTGACCTGACAACACACTGAGGGGAATGTATGAATTTAAAGCAGTTGTGCATGGTAATCAATCAGCTTCTATCTTCAGATTGTTTAATTAACCTTTAAAAAATGAAAGATAGAAGCTCATTGGTCGCAATACACAGCTGTTCCAGTTTTGATAAATTCCGCTCACTGTATTTTATGCTCTGAAATCCTAAGCACATGGTGTCAGTCCTGCCTACTTAATTTCTGATGAATTACAAAGAACACAGAGCTTGCCTTATCTCCATAACCCCTGCTTGTGTATAGGCGGAGAGCACAGGAAGATATCACCTCACAAAATATTTTACAAAATCAGCAGGTATTTTTTGCAGTTTGAACAAATAAACAAAAAACTCTTTCAATAGGGTTTTTAAAAGACCAATAGGGACAAATAAGAGAAGGTCATTGTTAGGGTTCCCATACATTTTATTAAAAAAAAATTATACACAAAAACAATATATGTTACCTTTAAAGAGAAACATTTACTTCTACATCTATTGATTCATTACTATGGGTATTTATACTCAATGATTGCTAACTTTTTAAACACCATCATTTTTGCCTGATGAATTTAAGTCAAAAAGTAGCAGGAGGTTTATACCAACTATTTTAAGTCTAAAATACTACCCTCAACTGATGTCAAGTTCGGCTGGCTTGTTAAAGCACCTATTTGCTTTCCCTGACATGCCCAGCAGTCTCAATTTCCCAAGACACTTTACAACTCAAATAAGCTAAATCTAAGTGAAAATAAGAGTTGGTCATTTCCAGTCAAGTACCCCAACCCCAAGCCATATCTCCAGTTATACAACTATTAGCTCTCCTGCTTGTATGTAAAAAAGAAATACGACTAAACGGTGAGCAAGGCTGTGTATCGCATCAACGGGCAAAACCCCCCTGCACACCTGCAACCTTTCCCAGTCATTTTTTACATCCCCTGGCTCTCCTTGCGTCTTTGTTAGCCCAGGACTGCTGCAGAGTCATTCAGGATGGAGAATAGAAAGAGATCTTCTCTGAGCTGAAAAACTCTGAAACACTTAGCTAAAAGGAAATCTAGATTCAGAGCTATGAAATGCCAGCAAAACAGAGACTGTCTAACAGACCCCTGATATCTCAATAAAGAGTACCTGTCACACTCTATATACTATCATATAGGGGACTTGCCATTTCTCTCTGTGACAGTAATGAAATTTGCTATGAAATCTATTAAACAATAAATAAAAAAAAAACATAAGGTGTTTTTGTGCAGTAAAATAGCATATTTTGCTGAAAATATAGTGTTCATAAACATCTGGACAAAGTTTCCATTTCTTATGCCTCCACTCTGTTCTCCTGGCTGAAAACTAAACATTTATAAAGATCACCTAGGAAGCAGGCCTACACCAACTGTAGAACTAATAGTTGTCTACCACTGGTGTAGCGAGTCTGGTTGAAGGGAGGTAAACCATGATAAAATGAGATCTTGCAAAAACATGTCTTAACAGTACTCACAAGCGAACTGCAGTAGCAAGGCCACTGTGTGAGCTGCATCTTCTCTCCACCAGTTTGGAATTTTTTAAAAATAACAGTTGGTGTGTCATTTATGGGTATATGGGACACACACAACTCCACTCATGTATAGTTATAAATGAAAATATACTAAAATGTAATATACTGCAGCTTAACAATCGTTAAATGTGATAGCTGCATTTGTTTTCTTTTTTAAGGCTATTTTAATTTATTTCACCTGGTGATCCTGTCAGTAGCACATTTTCCTGTCCTAGGGTGTCTTCATTTTGGATGAAGTAGTAAAGCAGACACCTTTGGAAAGCAGCATTATCAGTCTAGGGGATGGATGGTAGTGTAAGATGCTGTAGCAGATTTACACGGACTTGGCTAACAAATAGAAACTGAACACTTTTTAACCAGTTACAGCAAACAGTTTTTTTCCTGTTGGGATAAAGGGTTTACATAAATGAATAAAAGCTGACCATTGTAAGCATTCCTGTCAGTGTTAAATGGTTTGTCTCAACCCTCTAACTGCTACTTTGTCTGGATAGCATGGTCTGTTGAAAAATAACACACCTACTGCAAGGATCACCACATGAAAATAAAGACAGCTTAAAAAAGGAAAACTAATGAAGTCACCACATCAAATTTTTTGTTTTTGGGTTTAAAACTGCTTCAAAGTGGTTGTAAACTTCTGACATGAATATGAACAAAGCATATCCCTTTATTGTGTGAACTTGTCTTAATCTAGGGCATTAAGTGTTATTTCTGTCTCAATTAATAGATACTGATCAAGTGAGCGCTTCCGAAGTAATAGCAGCTAGCATAAGGATAAAACCCCTAGATCCTTTAAAAACGTATATAACAAAAATGCAGCACTAAAATACAGGTTAAATATAAAGTGATAAGTGCCGTGCTGACGTCACTCACTGCCGAGGCCACATGCTAGGCCGGCGGCCATCTTGCTGTCCATTCATGAATGGGGAAAAAAAATTATTTTTTTTTGCTGAATTAAGCTGACTTGCTGTAAGCACATCACCACTGGCTGAATACATTTACTACACTATATCAGCTTTTGTTTGGTGGCTTATTCTTTGAGCTACTTAAGGTGGATACCCACTGTTGCTGACATGTTTTGATGCCGGGCGTAAGTGATACCAAAGAGCAGTTCCCTGTATGCTGTGAGGGTCCCACTGAGAGGTCTGGAGTCCTTCCCTGGGTGTGTTGAGTACCAACGGAGTGTGCCTCATTCCTACCGGTTCCTAGATGACCACCAGTGTCCTTCTGATTAATACATACATGCGCAATATTATTGTGCGTCCGATGAGTGCAAGCACACCTCTTTTCCTTACCACGGAAGTCACGAGCACCTTATTATCCATGTATTTCTAGTGAGAATGACTTGTATCCCCAGACACTGGAGTGTCAATGCACCTATGTGATACTTTCAGCACAATTATCTTTGGACTTCAATTTACGTTATATCATATGTTTATAGTTTACGTCACTTTAATTGTCACAAATAAGACGATACACTGCTGTCACTTTATGGCGCTCATTATTGGCGCTTGAACATACCACTTATCACTTTATGTTTAACCTGTATTTTAGTGCTGCATTTTTGTTATATATGTTATTTCTGTCTGTTGACTCTTCTCTGCTATCTGCATGAGTCACTTCTGACACGTTTTCCTGACACAGAGAATATTGGTGACAGGGGAAGGTACAGCCTGTGACTGACAGCCTCAGCTCTGTTCCTGTGTGCTGTGTGAAGAGGGGGTGGATTTCTTCCCTCCAATCATCTCTCAGTGCTCTTGTACAGTGTGTAACTTCAACTCCCTGCCCCTTGCTTTTCAGCGCTGAGAGATCATGTGTAAATGGGGACAGATTGCTGTAGATAAACATGTACAGCTTATGTAGGAGGATTTGTTTAGTCTCAGTGTATCAGCTGAGGCTAGTCACTTCACTGGGTATATGTAAGGGTTTATAACCACTTTAACATATTGAGTATGAATCTGCACTCATAAAATGTCTAAATGTTATATTTGGGTAAAAATGCAACTAACAAAACTTTAGGCTTTAGGTTGGATTTGCGCAATGAAATGCTGTTTGGCCCCAATTAATTCAAAGTGTGTTTTATGCAAAACGTGAATCAGTAACCCAACCTAAACTCTGCCCCCATACTAATGAGTGTATTAGGAGGTGGGACAATGACTCTTAGTATACAGGCAGAATGGAAGCTGAGGGCCTGCCAACATAGGACCCTGTGGGCAAAGGGATGCATCCAGTCATGCATTAAATTAATCTTTAGGTGCACACTCTTACAATAGGGTTGAATCCATTCTTTTGGAAAGATAGTAAAGAAAAACACAGCCATAACTAACCAGGCAGGGAGGAATGATCATGTCAGTGTCTGTCACATTTAAGAGCCGTTCCTCAGATTTTACAGACTTCAGTGGCTGCCATGTCTGTGCCATCTTCTTAACTTTTTCATCAATCATATCAGTGTTTCCATCAAATCTTTAAGAAAATAAAATGGAGTTTGTAGAAAAATCAGAAAAATTATGCTGATAATATGAAAATTAACAAACAAGATAAATTTTGGTCCCCATGGAGCAGGCATGTGCTGGATTTCACAGAATGTGCTATAAACCACACTGCGTGTAAGTAAAATTTTTAACAACTGGACCAAAGGGCGTTTTAATATTTGTCCATGGCTTAACTTTCATACTTTACCTTTTCTGAATATCTTCAAGGAAAGATTCTGTACTCTTCTTTTCCATCTCATATACTGCTCGAAGGATGTGTAAAGGTACATTATGGGCTTCATGAAAAGCCTACATCACACAAACAATTATTTACATAATCCGCAGCACGCAAAGACATAGATAAATTATATAGAGTCACAGTATGAGAACACAGTAGAAAAATAAATTATATAGAGTTGCAGTATGAGAACACAGTAGAAAATTCTCCAGTACTCCCTAAGGATGTCAGATGCTCTCCCATAAATAGCTGCTCCTGACTGTCCACACATGACCTAACTATATAAGGATGGCGAGCATTAGTTAGGGAAATTAGCATCAATAGATCCCAGTGATGCCTGCATTTTTTAGTCTGATGCACAAGCACCACGCTTATAGTAAAGACTGCAACAAGAGGAGTGTATTGGAAAGTGTTTTACCTTAATGCAGAAAATGCATTTTTTTTTTCTTTTTGAAGACATTACTACCACTTTAAGTGGTACAGCCATGAAAACTACACAGGACATTTCTCAGGCTGATAAGAGTAACAAAAGCCCAACATGTGTAATTGGATATTGCATTACCCCATCATCACCTTAGTGTAAAGAAGAGAAATCTTTCCTAAAGGTTGCAACAAGAAACTTTTTCCTGGAGAACATAGCTCTCTTCAACCTTTGACAGCAATTACAAACACATTTATCGAGTCATATAAAATATTTTCTAACAACAAACAGGCCATAGAACATATTTATTTATACGTAATATAATATAAACCAACGTATATCAGCTTCTCTAGTGACTGTGTTGATGGGCAAATACAACTTCCTTCCAAGTGCACTCCACTTGACATCAATTTAGGATGCTCCTGTGATCATTGTACCACTAGCGCCTCCCTCCTAGATTGTAAGCTCCAAGGAGCAGGGCCCTCCTATCCCTCTTCTATTGAACTGTATTGTCTCCCGTTATATTGTAAAGTGCTGAGCAAACTGTTAGTGCTATATAAATCCTGTATAATAATAATAATATTAATAATCGTTAACAATTCAGTTAAGCTGAATTTAACCTTTTTCTGAGCTGCATATGACCTCCTTCAGAAGTTCATCAACAACATTCATGCTGCTTTGCTGTTCCATTGATTTGTATTAGGTACAGAAACTAGTTCTTAAGCTAACAAAAACCCTTAATGCTTTTGTAATGCTATAGTTGGCTTGGTATACCTTAAAACACGTTTTTGTTGCTTCATCAAGGCCTTCTAAAGGACTAGGCTTTTTCTGAACATCATCAACTGCAAGTGGCTCTGTATTTTTATCTTGTTCTGGCTTCTCTGGAGGTGAATCATTTTTTTCAGAAATATGGCTTGTGTCTTTCTTTGATGAATACAGCATTATAGATAAGATCTACTCCAGAAAAGAAAACATTCCTTTATCAAATCCAACTCTCATCACATAAGGAAAACTTTGTAGCAGGAAATATAAATCCATGATGCAGTATAAAAAGTACAATTATCAAAATAAAAGGAAAAACTCCGCGCTTAGGTAAAACAAACAACTAAGCAGCCAGCACTAAGGAGTATGATACCAACCCTAAAATGATATTGTGAAAAAAGTGCAGCCTTCCATTAATCAAAGGAAAAAGCTTCCACCAGACACCAGGGTGTGTGTGGATGCACCTTACCAGATACTGTGACCCCCTTTAAAAGAATGGTCATATGCACTCTTAGAAGATCAACACCGGGATACCGCTGGATCTCCAAAAATTAACTCCCACAATCCACTTCAAAGGCGCCCGCAGAGTTGAGAATAGAATTGGTGTAGTAAAACCAAAATTCATTTAATAAAGGTTAAAAACACTCATATTCCACAAGAGCCACACAGGCAATATGGCATGTCAAAATGTCAGAGCATCAGATCCTCTGTCTATCTGACATTTTGATATGTGATATTGCCTGGGTGGCTTTTAACTCTGGGGACACCATTGGAGTGGATTGAGGGGGAGAGCTAGTTTTGGAGATACAGCAGCATCCCAGTGTTCTTTTAAGAGCACATATGACCATTCTTTTATAGGTGGCCGCAAAATCTAGTAAGGTGCATCCGCACATACTGTGGTGTCAGATGGAAGCTTTCTCCTTTGATTGGTGGAAGACCTATTGTGAAGGCTCCAATTTTCTTAGCCTATGATCACCATTTTATGTCCCATTTTTTTTTTGACTATGATTCACTGGGACTTTCATTTTGATGGACACTTTTATATGGTACCTTTTTTATATATGGTATTATTGAATTCTTATGGGGACATTATTATGTTATTCACTATGTGGTAACTAGTTATTACTGCACATAGACTTACCGGCCACTTTATTAGGTACACCTTGCTAGTTTCGGGGTTGGATCCCTTTTTGCCTTCAGAACTGCCTTAATTCTCCGTGGCATAGATTCAACAAGGTGTTTGAAACATTCCTCAGATATTTTGATAGCAATTGCTGCAGATTTGTTGGCTGCATATCCATGATGCGAATCTCCTGTTCCACCAAATCCCAAAGGTGCTCTATTGGATTGAAAGCTGGTGACTGTGGAGGCCACTAGACTACATTGAACTCACTGTCATGTTCAAGAAACCAGTTTGAGATGATTTGAGCTTTGTGACATGGTGCATTATCCTGCTGGAAGTAGCCATCAGAAGATGGGTACATTGTATTCATAAAGGGATGGACATAGTTAGCAACAATACTCAGGTAAGCCGTGGCGTTTAAATGATCCTCAGTTGGTACTAAGGGATCCAAAATGTGCCAAGAAATATCTCCCACACCATTACACCACCACCAAATGGAACCGTTGATACAAGGCAGGGTGGATCCATGCTTTCATGTTGTTTAAGCCAAATTCTGACCCTACCATCTGAATGTTGCAGCTGAAATCGAGACTCATCAAATCAGGCAACATTTTTTCAATATTCTATTGTCCATTTTTGGTCAACCTGCATGACTTCAAGCCTCCGTTTCCTGTTTTTAGTGAACAGGAGTAGCACCCGATATGGTCTTCTGCTGCTGTAGCCCATCTGCTTCAAGTTTCGACGTGCTGTGCATTCAGAGATGGTATTCTGCATACCTTGGTTGTAACAAGTGGTTATTTGAGTCACTGTTGCCTTTCTATCATCTCAAACCAGTCTTCCCATTTTTCTCTGACATCAACAAGGCATTTTCGTCCACACAACTGCCTCTCACTGGATATTTTCTCTTTTTCGGACCATTCTCTGCAAACCCTAGAAATGGTTGTACGTGAAAATTCCAGTAGATCAGCAGTTTTTGAAATACTCAGACCAGCCCGTCTGACACCACCAACCAACGCCAAGTTCAAAACCACTTAAATCCCCTTTCTTCCCCATTCTGATGCTCGGTTTGAACTTAAGCAAGTCGTCTTCACCATGTCTAGATGCCTAAATGCACTAAGTTGCTGCCGTGATTGGCTTATTAGCAATTTGTGTAACCAAGCAATTGACCAAGTGTACTTAATAAAGTGGTTGGTGAGTATTTCTGTATAATAATTCTGGATTTATACAGTCATATTGTTTTGAAGAAGGTATTTTGATTACTTGTAGCGCTACACTTTTTTCACAATAAAAAGTACAACCCACCATAAAAATGTGGCCTGCATGGGCTTTTCACATAATATTGTACCTAAAAGCAATTGTGTTGTACAAAACAAAGAACTGGGTATAAGCTTTCAGATACTTGACCAGCATGGATTTCTGCACATTCCTGTTATTTCAGTATTATACTAAAGCAACCAAACCACTCAAATAATATTCATTTTTCTGCATACTGAAGGTCTGAACTAAATAAATAGAAGCTTGACTTTTATAGAGCTGAGCTTGGAAAAACCCCCACTCTGATTTTGTGCTTTCAATCAGCATTATGCAGCTGAGTGAAGAGGCTCAGAGATACAGTATTTGATTGTAATGGATACTGGGTTTGCATATTAGTTAACTGCCACTGTAAGGAAGGCAGACAAAAGTAAAAATTTAGAAAGATGCCTCCTCATTTCAAAATGTTATGGCTTTTTAGGTAAAGTGTAGTTGTAAAGGTAAAAATGTCAAGATAAACAAATCACTACATAATTGGTATCATAGGATTTTTTTTTTTTTTTTTTTTTTTAAGTCCGCAAACGTGCAACTATAACGAAAAAACCCATAAGTGTTCACAAAAAAAGTGCAAGTGCAAAACACCACACGAAAAAGTGCACTTAGGGGTGTGCTTTTGTCCTACCCCTAAAGGGGCTGGACCGCTATCCTAATCCCCCGGGGCACGAAGCTCCTGACAGGGACAAGGTTCCCATTTGGTCCTCCTGGCCAAAAGGCCTGGTGGACCACCGTTCCTTGTGTCCAGCCGATCGTACATATCTTTAAAGAACTGGAAAATGATACTGCATCTGGCAATTAACAAAAAGGAATGTGTTTCTTTATTGACTGATCCCAGTGCAAACGAATAGATCATGTCAAAAATAGTCCTGTTGGTTGTAGTAGAAAACACGTCCATATTAAATATGATAAATAAGATCATCATATGTATTGAACAATCTTTTTAAACTATTTTCTAAACTTATCTGTCCAGGGATCCAGCACCATCCTCGCCCAGGTTGGCTCTTTGCCAGTTTTTGGGTCCCTGGCGCCATGTTAACTGTGGGAAACTGGCTGTCACTCCTTGTAGCTTCTCAGCCGACTACCCACTGTGCATGCACGAGCCGCACCGTGTACTGGGAATGGTCCCACAGCCTCCTGGGACCTGTGAGGTGTCACAGGAGGTTGCGGGTAGGGGGAGCTTGAGAACTTCCAGTGGGATTGCCTAGGCAATTCCAGCAGAAGATGGAGTGGGTATCTGCTAGCAATTGGTACCCACTGCCCAACCACCTGAGTGGTGACGAAGGCACATTGTGCCGTAGTCACCACAGTAAAAACTATGAAGTTCAGCCATTGCTGAAGGGTGCACATATCCACAGACATTCATACAAAGCCTGCAAGATGTGCACAGTGCAGAGCATAAAACCTGGATGTAAAGAGATAACTGTATTATTATTTAAAAATAAAGCAGGCAATCTAATGTTACTTATAATACTCTACAAAACTATTAGTTTAATAAAATAATAAAAACAATAAGAGTATGTGGTCTGAAACCAATATATATTTGCTTATGACCATACTAGAGCATTCATTAGTCTTACCTCCAGATCACGAAGAAGCCATGTCTTACTGAAACCAGTGCCTTTGCTACATTTCTTCACCAACAATTTTAACAGACCAGACTGAATGAAGGCAGTTTGAATTTCTTCAAAATCATGATTCTGGGGAAAAAATAGCAAACTAGATCAACCAAAAGAAATGTAAATAACTAAAGGGATTTCAAAACAGGAAACTGTAAAAGAATAACCATGTGTCAAAATATACATTCAACATCTCATCCATTACTTATGAGGGAAAGAGTGATAAGTAAATGCAGTCACTAACAGCATCCAGCCACAAATCACTGTCAATGCTAAAAGACAAATGTAAAAGACAAAATCTATTTTTACTAAGGATGGGAGATGCACACACCCTCATTATGCAAGCGTGCCTAAGGCCTCTTTCACACAGGCGCTGTTTTTCTCATCAGTTTTTTCAAAGAAAAAACTGATCAGTTTTACATCTGTTTTTACTTTCAGTATTTACTTAATGCAAAAATGGACTACTTGGTCGTTTACATCGTGCTTTACGTTTTTTGGAACAAAAATGCAGACGTGTTCTGTTTAAAAAATGGACCTGAATGGAAGCAGACAACAAAAACTGATGTAAAATGTACGATGTCCATTTTTCATCCATTTGCCCATAGGAATCCTTTTATGGGCGTTGTTTTTTTCATCAGTTCAGTCATGTTTTTTCAAAGGAAAAACGGATCAGTTTTTTCATCAGTTTTACACATCAACCACCAATGCAAAAACGGACCAATTGTCAATTTACAACGGTTTTTCATCTGTTATACTTGTTTTATTGGAACAAAAATAGGGCTTTAATCCTTTCCAAAAATCATATGTTGACGGATGCGGATGTAAACGGACAAAAACAGATGATCTGTTTACATCCGTTTTTCCACAGAGATGCACGGATGTCCTTTTTTCATCCATTAACAGATGGATGAAAAACGGACAAATGGAATGCCCGTGTGAAAGGGGATTTAGGATTATAAAACATTGCAGACTATTATTTCAATTTTATGTCCTGCATATACATCTGTATATATATATATATATATATATATATATATATATATATATATATATATATATATATATATATATATATATATATATATATATATATATATAGACACACACACACACACACACACTATATGCACACACATACACACAGTAAAGACAATCTTCCAAATTTGACCAACCATGGTGCCGTCACATGGTCACTTCTAGATCACCTATAAAAGAAGTGTGGATTTACTTATCTTTCCGGTAGCCCATGCAGTGAAATGCTGGTCCTTAATTTCTGCTGCAAGTTTTCTTCTGCGTGTGCAAAATACTTGTACCCCCTCTTGACTGCTATGGCACCTTATGCTGGCTCATGCTTCAGCACAGAACATACGAGTCGCAAGAGATACCACAGCATGCAGTGGGGAAGGGTGAAAAAGAATTGCTGGCATTTCACTATATAGGGTGCCAGATGTATATCAATACTTCTTTTACAGGTGAGATATTGGGTAAAAGAAAACATGTTTTGAAAGCAACTGTAGGCTGTAATTGCTGCCCTTTGCTTCAAAATATGCTAGATCCCAATCTATTAAGATGATCATATGTCAATGACTTGGGGGACAAGCATGCAGATCAGAGAATTCTAATCAACAGTTTCAGACTTGTTCTGGGACAGTTACGCAAAGCCTGGGACAGTCAAGCAAGTGTTTGCCTAAGATCATGCGTAGAAGAAGAACTGCAGGATTCTGATAAATTTTCAAGATGAGATAAATATGCCCGACACTAAACCTATTGTTATACAAATATGTAAAATTGCCTTCTCAATTGTACTATTTTGCAATAGTCTGTTATAATGTCCTCTTTAATGAAGAGAAAAAAAAAGAAAGGGTTTGCAATGGAAGCCAACATATTTCTCCCAGGACAGATTTACTTTATGATTGCTTTGCATTATTAGACAGTCAATGCAGTGCATTTTGTTGAGTATCCAGTTTGAGCTTTTGATTGTGTGATTAAACAGATGTTACCTAGGCGTGTTTGGGGAGCTAGTAACAATTAACGGCATCACAAGCACATAGCATGTTTTTCGCATGTTCCTGGAACATGCAGATGCAAATTATTATTATACAGTATTTATATAGTGCCAAAAAGTTTGCTCAGTGCTGTACATTATAATGTAAATGTAAATGGAGCCTTACACAACTTCCATATACAGAGAACAGAGTTACACCATTACTGTATGTTTTTCTCAGGTTTTTAAGTATCCCCCTCAATTTAAATAGATTGCTAACACAAAAGAGCATTAAATAACAGTGATATAAAACAACTTCTAGCCTCATTTCTTTAGAAATAGTTGGAGAAACTACATACTCCTACAGCCATTCATTCAGTCACACAAATATGTATGAGTCACCAAATGGAAAACCAGAACTGCATACATAAAGATACTTTAAGTAGTCCAGGTGCACCCTGTCAGGCTAATGATAATTATATTGTAATATGCACAGATAATACTTTTGTAATTTTAAACAACAGTATTTAACATTATCTGCCAGTAATACTTAATAATAAATTAATTATTGCCCTATGAATATTTACACATTCATTTTCATATGCTTTTGAAGGACTGAGTGAATAGTGTATGGTAATTAAGAGGCTGCCTGCAACAGTTTCCGCCATATAATGCATGAAGAACAAGACACAGTTCTTATGAAAATATGCACCATATTGCAGGCCAGGAGGCAATATGAAATTTCTATACTATATTTCAAAAGATAGAGATGATGGAATTTAGTTACAAACGACACACACAGGCTGTTACAAATTAGATATGTTAAGGCTACTGCAAGCTCTCTTTCAAACAACTTAAAGCAATTCAAGTTACACGATTGTCAAATATTTGTTTCATTATCAAATACTTCACTTTCTTGCTTTGTTATTCTATTGTAAAAAAATAAAAAGGGTAATTCATATAAAGAAACCATTTCTAAAAAAAAGGAGGTTGCCATCGTTAACTCCTTATTTTGTAAATGCTATTTTCCTGGCTGTCATGTCGATGTTCTGTTTTCAATATTTTATGTCAGGGACTGAGAAGTACATAGATATGGACTTCTAACATTTCTGGACTTAAAGTACTATAGTGAGGGAGTCTCTCAGCAAAGGTTCACTTTATAGCAGAATTGGTATGGTTACCCATAAATGTAATTTTAGAGCTCATGATCTGTTTATAGATATGTTCACAGCATTGTTCAAGAAACTTTCATATGACATTTTTTCTGTGCTCCTATAGAGAGATGCTTTTCACTTTCCTAGGGCATTTGTGATAATTATAAACCTTAGACTATGAACACTAACAGATTATAAATTCAACCTGTCAGTATTAAACTGAAGACAGAATATGCACACCGTAATATTACCTTATATCATTTTTAAATGCACTCTTGGCAGAATTATCATTTTAAATATGTATGTAATTGACATCTATATATAGAGGAACTAGACAGGGCTGCCCATCGTCAACCCTGCTGTTTGACTGAGCTATAGAGCCCTTAGCGGCCCGTATTAGATCTGCTCCTGTCCGTCTTGGCCTGCTGCTTGAGACCCGAGGAACTAATCTCTCTATATGCTGATGATACTCTGGTATACCTGGCTGACCCTTGTGCTTCACTTAATTGTTTATTGAATATTGTGGAGGAATTCTGCTTTTGGGTTAACAGGGACAAATCTAGTTTGTTCCTTCTAGACCCAGAGGCATTGGCTCATGTTCACCCAGATTCCTGTCTACAGATTGACTCCTTTCGGTACCTTGGAGTGACTATACAATTGCTGCTGCACTCTTACCTTGCTAACAATGTGCTTCCTCTAGTTTCACATCTGTGGGCTAAGGTTGGGCAATGGATGGATCTTCCATTGGACTTAATGAGAAGGGTGAATCTCCTCAAAATGATTTTCCTCCCCAAGTTTCTCTATGCCGTGGCTAACTCCCCATGAAAAATCCCTATGAGTGTTTTTAAACAACTAGATTCTATTTGTCAGGACTTTCTCTGCCGATGACAACATCCCAGAGATTCTTAAACTTCCTACTCACATGGCTTGTCTGGATTTTCCGGACTTCTACTACTATTATTCAGCCTCCCAACTAGTGTATATACATGACTGGCTTATCCTTTCTCCAGGTAATGCCTGTACCAACGTAGAGGCAGCTATTGTTTCTTCATATGAAACTTTACATAATTTCGCATATACAGGAGAAACTCGAAACATTAGAATATCGTGCAAAAGTTCATTTATTTCAGTAATGCAACTTAAAAGGTGAAACTAATATATAAGATAGACTCATTACATGCAAAGCAAGATAGTTCAAGCCGTGATTTGTCATAATTGTGATGATTATGGCTTACAGCTCTTGAAAACCCCAAATCCACAATCTCAGAAAATTAGAATATTACATGCAATCAATAAAACAAGGATTGTACACAGAACAATATCGGACCTCTGAAAAGTATAAGCATGCATATGTACTCAGTACTTGGTTTGGGCCCCTTTTGCAGCAATTACTGCCTCAGTGCGGCGTGGCATGGAAGCTATCAGCCTGTGGCACTGCTGAGGTGTTATGGAAGACCAGGATGCTTCAATAGCGGCCTTCAGCTCTTCTGCATTGTGCGGTCTCATGTCTCTCATCTTACTCTTGGCAATGCCCTAAAGATTCTCTATGGGGTTCAGGTCAGGCGAGTTTGCTGGCCAATCAAGCACAGTAATCCCACGGTCATTGAACCAGGTTTTGGTGCTTTTGGCAGTGTGGGCAGGTGCCACGTCCTGCTGGAAAATGAAGTCAGCATCCCCATAAAGCTCGTCTGCTTTCCCTCCTTATGGAGGGTGTCAATGATGGTTTTCTGCACAACTGTCAGGTCAACAGTCTTTCCCATGATTGTGATTCCTACTGAACCAGACTGAGAGACCATTTAAAGGCTCAGGAACCCTTTGCAGGTGTTATGGCTTAATTAGCTGATTAGAGCGGGACACTTTGAGCCTAGAATATTGCACCTTTTCACAATATTCTAATTTTCTGAGATTGTGGATTTGGGGTTTTCATGAGCTGTAAGCCATAATCATCACAATTATGACAAATCACGGCTTGAACTATCTTGCCTTGCATGTAATGAGTCTATCTAATGAGTTTCACCTGTAGACATGAGGGTACTGCCATTCTCAATACTTCCCTTACACTTTTGTTCAAAACTTGAAAAAGGCTACAGAAATCTATCTGGTGCACTTCCCCAAATACCCCACTCTGGCATAACCCTGACTCTTCTACTGTCCCAGACCCTAAATGCTGGTCTGTTAGAGGGGTTGCATATCTGCACCAATTCTATGCAGGCCAAACGTTTAAATTATTCTCTCAACTACAAACTAATTTTCATTTCCCTGATACCCATTTGTTTTATTATTACCAACTAAGGCATGCTATTTGGAAACAATTTGGTTCCTTGACTAATTCCACCTGCAAAAAATGTCTTCCCTCTTTGGGCCCCAAAAGACTGTTTCTGACTATTACTTGGCACTATGTTCGAGGGCCCGTCTTAGATATGCGCAGGCAGTCATAGCCTCCAAAGAACGTGTTATTCAGGTAAAACGGTTTTTCACCACAGTTACTACACTCCTGCCAGACTTCATAGACTGGGCCTGCATTCCTCACCAGCTTGCTTCTGGGGGCTGTGGAATGAATGCAGATTTCCTTTATTGCCAATGGAATTGCCCCACTGTCTATGCTTTCTGGTTAGAAGTTAATACTTTTTCTCTCCACTGCTTTGTGTCTGCCCAATATCCTACACCCGAAGAACTGCCTTTTGGGCATTTTTGGAGACTTACCTCTTTCAAAGTCGAATAACCGTCTGTTAAAGATATTCAATGTTTATGTAAAGAAAATTATACTTTTGTCCTGGAACGGTGCCCCTCCCTTACTGCTAGAGGCTTGGAAGGCTATGGTTAATAGTAACCACCCCTTATATAGGATAAACTATGAGCTCTGTAAATGACCTCGGCTTTTTGAGAATGTATAGGGCTTTTTGATAGACAATCCGTATACAGTACAGCTGCTCCTGTAGATCCAAGACCCTAATTTTTTTTTTCAACGATACTGCTGCTCCTGTAGATCCAAGACCCTAATTTTCATTGGCCTTAACTGAACAATCTTTGGTATCTTTGACTGTTTTTGATGGCACCGCATTTGTAATATTGACTAATTTGCATACTGTATGCTTAAATATATGAAGGATAACTTAGACTGTACAGCTGTTATATTAGGGAGGCTTTTTTATCTCCCTCTTTGTTTGCCCCTTCTGGGGTGTGTTTTCTGTGTTGAAAAACTCAATAAAAATATATTTAAAAAAAAAATGTATGTAATTGACATGGTTTCTAAGGGCTCATACTGAAGGATGTTCTTGAACAAAAAATAAAAGTTTCCAAAGGTGCACGCGTTTGAAAAGAAAACACAACTTTTTACAAGAAAAGGGTGTACCTGAGCTGCTTTACCTGCAGATCAAACACACCTCAATAGGACATGTGGTATCAAAAAGAAAGGCAGTGGAACACAAAATAGGTCAAATGCCGCATCTGAACTATTATGTACATTAAAGTCAATAGCAATTTGCTCACCAGTGTCAAATGCAGAAATACATTTGTCAGTCTGCATAAACCCTGAATATAAGTAAGATTAGAAACACAGGGCTCAATAATTTTTAGTATACAGAATTTACACAGTGTTAACAGTTTGTGCAGTGCTTTACAAAATGAAGGTAGATATAACAGCTACAATACAATTTGGTACAAGAGGAAACAGAGGGCCCTGCTTGTTAGAGCTTACAATCTAGGAGGGAGAGTTGAGTGATACAAAAGGTAATACCTGTGGGGGGATGAGCTGATGGAGAAAATAAAAGGCGGTTTACTAGTTAGAAGAAGGGTAGGCTTCTTTAAAGGGAACGTTTTTCAGGGATGCAGGGATGGGTTGATAGTGGTGCTATTGATCCTGACCGAGAAATTAGGGGAAAAGGTACGTGGGGGAGGAAATATTCTGAGCTTAGTTTTGGATAGATTGAGTTTTAGGAAGTGGTGTGACATCGAGTCTGATATGTCTGTTAGTAAATCGGTGATACGTGAGGAAACTGATGGGGTGAGTTGAGGAGTAGAGAGATAGATTTGTGTGTCATCAGCAATGAACGGATGGTGCGGTGAGATAGGTAAGATTTGAACCAACGGCGAGTACAGTCAAGGAGACCAAGTAAATAGAGTTTCTTGAGGAGGAGGGGGTGGTGGTCAACTGTGTCAAAGGCAGCACAGAGGTCTAAGAGTAAGAGTACAGAATAGTGACCATTAGTTTTAGTGGTTAGCAAGTAATTTGTGAGTTTTAGGACAGCAGTTTCTGTGGAGTGTTGTGGGCGAAATCCAGACATAAAGGGAACGAGAAGGTTATCAATAAGGTGGCAAGCTCAGCCAGTTGTAGACTAGACGTTCAAGGAGTTTGGAGGCAAAAGGGAGTAAGGAGATGGGTCTTAGGCTGCTAAGATTGGTGGGGTCCAGTGCGGCCTTTTTAGGTATGGGGGTGACTGGCTCATGTTTTAGAGAGTTGGGGAAGAAGCCAGTAGAAAGGGAGAGATTGAAGATATGAGTTAAAGAGTGAAGGATAAAGCCAGAGTGTGACCATAGTATTTGCGAGGGAACAGGGTCCAGGGGCAGGTGGTTAGGTGGGCTTTAGAAAAAAAATTACCATCCTCCTCTATAGTAGCTGGGTTAAACAAGGGAAATAAAGATTGTGCAGGAGGACAAGGAGCATAGGGTGAGGGAGAGATCTGTACAGTGGAGATCTCATCACGAATTGTATCAATCTTATTTTTGAAGTGATTAGCGATCTCCTGGGAAGTAAGTTAGGGGGTGGAGGTAAAGAAGGACAAAAAAGAGAGTTAAAGGTAGAAAAGAGTTGACGGGGATTGCGCGAGAGGATGTTAATGAGAGTGATAAAATAGGTCTGTTTGGCCGTGTGGAGACAGGAGTTGTATTTTTGAAGGGCAGATTTATATTGGTCAAAGTCTTACGCCATAAACACTCCAGAGCACGGCTACGGTTTTTGAGGTATCTGGTATTGTCTGTTTGCCAAGGCTGTAGCAGTCAGGGCCTAATTCTGTGTGTAGTGAGGGGGGCTAATGTGTCCAAGGTGGATGACAGTGAACTGTTGTAGATAGAAGTGGCCAGGTTGGGGCAGGACAGGGCTGAGATTTTGTCATAGAGACAATCTGTTGCCGAAAAAAGAAGAGAGGGGTTAAGATAGTGAAGGTTTCTATGGGTAACTGTAATAATACTATCAGACGCATACTGTTGCACACTACTGTCCTTTGTAATCAAATGGTTCTTAAGCTATACATGTCACTCATATGGACTGAAAATTTTGAGTAATTGGCCATGCAGGAAAGATAACTAGAACTAGTAATTTATTTTAGCAGGAAAAAAAACTAATGGAGTTAATGCAAGTAAAGCAGGGTTAACCTACTCAACAAATGCAAGACAAAGGCAAACATTGTAGTGGTGACTCAGGTACATGAAGTAATAACAAGGAGCATTCTGAATCACTTACATAAATGATAACATCATTCAACTGCATGTTTTAAAATATTTTGAGGTACATGATCTGTTATCTGTAATCCTACTTTTTTTTTATTCCTGCTGTTTACAACAAACCAAAAGTAGATATTTATTAAGTGCACTATACACATTAGTCATGAAGTCTTACCTTTAGAGTTTTATATAATCCTTTAAGTGCCAGCGACAAAACCCAAGTAGCTTCAACTGCATCTGCAGAGCTGTTGTCCAAATTCCGCTGCAGGAGGTTACTCGTGATAGAACCAAAGTGCTGGAGATATTTTTTAAGATTTACTTCTGGGTCCTGGCTTTTGCTATTCTTGCTTTGCATCAGCTGGTAGTCTTTCACTATAGGGATTTGATTAAACTACAAGTTAAAAACTATTTTTAGCTCTACAAAATTCAAACTAAAATTGAAACTGTAAAATGCATAAAAGAGCATGTCAGGGCAAAATTACATTCAGTACACCATTTTAAAAATGCTGCAAGTACAGAAAAATACCTGTTGATTTGCCAGAAATCCAATGTGTTGTTAGCCACTGAACTACAGATCTCGAACTATTCCCCCTCAACATCACCCTCTGTCCTACTTCACATGCATACATTTCAGTTCCTTCTCAGCAAAACAAAAAGCTGCTGCCTTGTCCTCATATTGTGTGCAGGGAATGAACTCTTGGGAGATGTATTTTTCATATGTGTGCCCCTGACCTCTCAGCAGCTGCCCCTGCAAAAATTTTTGAGGTCTGGTGATAGCATCACAGTGCCATAGGAATAAAAGATTTTCAGTAGACACAAACTTAAGGAAAAGAAAAAAATAATTTTCAGCCATGTTGTAGAGAGGGGGATTCGGGGTATACTTGAATGGTGCTAGGACATAAACTTTAATGTTATAATAAAAAAAATACAAAATATAAACAATAGAAAAAATATACAGCTAGCTTTACTTTTTCTTTACTATTTTTTTTTTTATAAACGATAAAAGCACTTTGACACCATGTCCTCCAAACTTGCAAAAAATAATAAGAACTTGAGACCACCATTACGTTGATGGGGAGGATACAACACATTTTCTTTGGGTGCCCTATCCAGGAATGGCACATCCATTATTCCGCCCCACCTACATTTTGAACATACAGATAAGGCACCAGAATATTGGCGAGGAATTCCCATACAAAATGACATGTGAAGACATGGTCTCTCATTCTATTTGGTAGTTTTCAATTCACACTTCTGTTGGGTTGTGGATTTACAGTTTAACTTTGATGGAGTAAAGGTTACAAGTTCTATGAGGTTTATTGTAGCAGAGACTATGAAACCAGAAATGTTCCTAGTAAAAGAAAAGCAAAACTTCACTTAAAAATGAACCTTCTGCTCATCCGCCTCCTTCCCTCTCTTGCAACATTATTGGCAGCTATTTTTGTTTTTCGAAGTTGCGAGCAACTTTTTTTTTTTCTTATTCATTATTTAGGTTTTTCAGTTTTATAACAAAGTAGAAACAGATATAGCCGTTACAAACGTGAAGTACAAAAATATAACTGCACAAAACGAGTTCCCAGGAGAGGTACCTCAAGAGAGAAGAGACATCAGTTTTGGAATTAGCAAGCTCAGAAGTAACCCTTATATATGCTAGCATTCAGCCAGGACTAGTGGCTGACTATATAGAGCACAGTGTTAAGATAAAAAAGCTACAATGCCTTGGGGGAGGGAGGGGAATAACACTTGTCTTCACATGGGCACCAAGAGCCAAAGCTTCCATGGTAGAAAGCACAGTAATAAGGGTAAAGGGAATTCCTCAGAGAAATATGTACAAGTAACTTTTTCTACCCCCTGCCAATTCGACATTTCAAAACTAAGCGAGAATTATGGAAGTTCAGACCACCCCCCACCCTGCCTGCAACCTCCTAGGACATTTCACCGAATGAGACATTTCAGTCCCATGAGGCTGCAGGACCAATGTGAAAGTGCAACATGTCTCATGCATGCACAGTTGGTTGCCAGATGAGCAGGAATTCACAGCCAGCTTCTCACAGTCAAGATGACGGTGTCGGGGATCCGAAGACCAGCAAGGGTCAGGACAGCGTGGGATTCCTAGACTGGTATCTGTGTATTAAAAGACAGCAGCTACAGTATTTGTAGTTCGTCTTTAATGAGGATTTTAAAGACAAATGACTGTGAACCTTGTGTAAAATAATTTGATATAGCAACCACTTAGTAAACTTTGATCAAACAAGGGATGTGATGTTCATACAGAAACATTTTATTTTATAGCTGTGCATTCCTTTCAGTAAGTTCTGAAAGTACAGAATTGCAGTTACGTAGAGAGGTTATCAACACACACAAGAGTTCTACTTTCCCTAGAATCCCGCTTTAAAGTGCATCTAAACCCAAAAACAAAACCTAAATATACTGTATATACTGCAGCTTTCTTTCTGAGAAAAAAAAAAACAAACAAACCATATACTACAGATTCCCTTTTGAAAAAACATATACTGCAGCTAACCACCAGTCCTCTGATGTGGTGGCTGCGTATGTTTTCACTTTTCAGACTAAGAACGTTTCCCTTGTCATTTCCTTTGAGTTGAAAAAAAAAGCAAAACCCCCCCCCCCCCCAAAAAAAAAACAAAAAAAAAAAACCCTTATCTTTACAGCGTAAACTACTTATCCCATCAAACTATAAAGTAGATGATCAGAGGCACATACACTATATTGCCAAAAGTATTGGGACACCTGCCTTTACACACACATGAACTTTAATGGCATCTCAGTCTTCGTCTGTAAGGTTCAATATTGAGTTGGCTCACCCTTTGCAGCTATAACAGCTTCAACTCTTCTTGGAAGGCTGTCCACAATGTTTAGGAGTGTGTCTATGGGAATGTTTGACTATTCTTCCAGAAGCGCATCTGTGAGGTCAGGCACTGATGTCAGACGGGAAGGCCTGGCTCGCAGTCTCCACTCGAATTCACCCCAAAGATGTTCTATCAGGCTGACGTCAGGACTCTGTGCAGGCTAGTCAAGTTCCTCCACCCCCAACTTGCTCATCAATGTCTTAATGTACCTTGCTTTGTGCAGTGGTGCGCAGTCATGTTGGAACAGGAAGGGGCCATCCCCAAACTGTTCCCACCAAGTTGGGAGCATGAAATTGTTCAAAATGTCTTGGTATGCTAATGCCTTAAGAGTTCCCTTCACTGGAACTAAGGGGCCAAGCCCAACCACTGACAAACCACCCTACGCCATAATCCCCCCTCCACTAAAGTTTACACTTTGCACAATGCAGTCAAGCAAGTACTGTTCTTCTGGCAACCGCCAGAACCCAGACATGTCCATCGGATTGCTAGACAGAGAAGCGTGATTGGTCACTCCAGAAAATGCGTCTCCACTGCTCTAGAGTCCAGTGGCGGCATGTTTTACACCACTGCATCCGATGCTTTGCATTGTACTTGATGATGTAAGGCTTGGATGCGGCTGCTCGGCCATGGAAACTCATTCAATGAAGTTCTATACATATTGTTGTTGTGCTAATCTAAAGGCCACACAAACTTTGCAGACAGTTGGCGACTTCTGCACACTGTGCGCTTCAGCATGCGCTGACCCCGTTCTGTCTGATGTATGTGATGATTACATGGCCTACCTCTTTGTGGCTAAGTTGATGTTGTTCCCAGTTGCTTCCACTTTGTTATAATACCACTAACAGTTGACCGTGGAATATTTATTAGCAAGTACATTTCACAGATGGACTTATTGCACAGGTGGCAACCTATCATGGTAACTCACTTTAATTCACTGAGCTCCTGAGAACGACCCATTCTTTCACAAATGTTTGTAGAAACAGTCTGCTTGCCTAGGTGCTTGATTTTATATACCTGTGGCCATGGAGGTAATTGGAACACCTGAATCCAATGATTTGGAGGGGTGTCACAATACTTTTGGCAATATAGTGTATGTTTAAGTCCAGCCTGTTTGACAACCATGGATGACCCCATAGATACAATGGTGAAGTTAGTGTGGACATGAAGGGAAAGAAAGGGTGTTCTTCGCAATTACCGGCTGAAATTAAGGAAAACATGGGCATGAAAAAAAATAAAAATAATAATGCAGCCTTACCATGTAAGGACGGATAAATTGCAATAGATTAAATGTTTCTTTTTTGGGGTTTAGGAACGCTTTAAAAGGCATAAAAAAACACACAGGTATAAAATATAGTATTTGGTGCTCATAAGGAGTACTTTCAAGCACCAGACTTGAAGGTTAAAACTGTAATAGCTGGGTCCACAGTAATGGTTTGCTAGATACCCTACTGCACCCTGCAACAATCTGTGCAAATACCATTTGCAAAAAGTGCAAGAAAGCAAACAGTCAACAGAAATGTACATACCAGTCTTCCTCTTTCGTGTTTTAAGGTCAACAACTACAGCTCTATTTTTCTCAGTGAAATGCTTTAATATGACAACATCATGAGGTTCTTTGGCATTATCAACATAAACAGATCGTGTTCCCATACACAGTACCTACAATGAGACATAAAACAAGATGACAATGTCAGAGCCTTTCCAGCCTTAAACACACATACAGTATACAGTCTTAGACACACACGTGAAAGAGGTTCTTCTTACATAGGCAGTCACATGAGAAATAACTTTATTTAAAGAGGCTGACCAGGGCCTAACTAGGCAAAGTGACAAGTTGTCTTGTAAGAGAATATCACCCACCTCAACCCACTGGTGATCCACTTGCCCATGGAAACTGGGAGTCCCAACCCTCAGTAAGCTCCATGTTGCTGGTACCAGATCAAACACAAAGAGGTATTTTTTTCCTCTTCCTCATCAAATGACAGTTGTTAGGAATGGTGTTTGGCTACTCAGGCCAGAGCACTGCATACTGGGAGGTTGTCACATGCTCATTCATAACCAGAAGTACTGGGTAGTCTTGAAGGCTCCAACAGAGGAGCAGAACAACAAGGGAGCATGTGCAGGGTGGAGAACCTGTCACCTACCACAATACTGGGTTGTTTAGTTATGGAAAAAATGCTTCTGTGGTCAATGGCTGTAATCATCCCCTCTGCCACTTGTGGTTTCTTTTTGTCCCTTAACAGGAAGAGGGTAGGCAAGAGACAGGGACTCCAAAGTTTCACCTGGGATCCTTGGGTACTCTACAAGAAATTCAAATCCATCATGGAGACACACATGAAGATGCCCCATATTTGGGGCACTTTAGTTCTTTGGGGGCCACTGGTTTGATGCATGGCTCTATTAGCCATACTAGACAGGATGTTTGTTTCAGCTACTATCTCAGATAAATAACCCTTTGACCTCCTTGAGGACAAAGAAAAGAAGTTGAATGTATTCACTTGAGTTTGCTTGACCAGAGGCATTACAGCTAATCAACAAAATGCATAAGGCACCAGAAACTCTTGAGAAAGCAGTATTTTTTCTAGGAGGATGAAATAATTTATCATGTTCTCCTTCCTTTTTTATGTTTAGCATAAGATTTCAGCAGCAGATTTAATAAGTTACTGATTGTACAACTTTTTCATTTTTTTTCTTGTCAATTTTCTGTTCAGGCTGGTGCCATGACCACTGCCTGAGGTTTCTTTTTTCAGGGTGGTTCCTTTTCTCTTGCAGTATCCTATGGAGCAACACTTGCATGTAGGTACTAGGAGTTGTGTCTCCCAAACTGTGTGCATCAAGAGAACACAAAGCCCTGCAGCCTAGGATGGAAAGGCACTCCTTTGCTCCTCCCTCCACCTTCCCTCTCCTTTCTCCAAGCTAACAGACTGGCTCTAGGCTACACGGTCCGCTGGAAAGTTCAGGATAAAAATAGAAAAGGTAAGAACTTAGTGGGTGCTTACAACAGCAGCTATTGCACCAAAAAGGAACCACAAACCTCTCAATAAGTAAATATATAAATAAATATAAAATAGAAGCAACAAATATACTGATAAAATGTTAAAGCATCATATTACTATAAGTCAGGTGACAACTTAATAACAGGTGATACGTATAGGAGTGACTCTGAAGTATATCAAATAACCGTCCAATTGCAATACACATATATATATATATATGTATATATATCCAGAATAAGGTGACAAGGTGGTAGAAATTCCAGAGATAATATGTTGGGTGACGGTGACAGTTCCAAATGGACAATTAAAGATGTGAAACTTCTATATCCCAGTGTGAACTAATCCGGTGATAAGCGACAAATGGTAAGATTTCGCACTCACTGGAAGCGCAATCTTAATGCACATTGATCAAATGAATTATAGCAATGTGATGTTTTAACATTTTATCAGTATATTTGTTGCTTCTAGAGAAGTTCAGGATAGCAGTACTGAGAAAGCAGGAACCAGAAGCTTTGAAACCTGTAAACTTTAAGTATTAGGGTAAGACTTTTAACAAATAATTTACTGGGAAATGTTTATTTTATTGTGCTCAATGTCTTCATTTAAAAAATGCTGACGTTTAATACTACTTTAAAGCACAAAATACATTTTTAAAAAAAGTAAGCAATGATTACATCATTTTCAGAATAATGTTCCTTATGTTAATGCAATCAAAGTGGATGTCCCTCACAATAATTGTTTGAAAAGTAAACACAATCACACAGTTGTTAACCCATTTTTAAAAAATAATAAAGGAGTCTGTAAAGCATTGCAGCCATGTTCAGCAGATCACGGGTGCAGTGTCAGACTCCTGCAGACTGTGTAGCTCCCTGCCGGTACCACGGAAAAGGGCAGGCAGCTACAGAATGACAGGAAGAATCAATGAACTACGTGGATGCTCACCAGCGCCCTTGTAGTTCATTGAGAACCACAAGCTGTCAGCAGTAAAAAGCTGTCGGTACCTGTAGTCTATTCTTTCACAGAACTCTGTGGGTGGAGCCCCGCAAGGCCATGCTCTTTTCAAATTGTGACAGCAGGTGAGGGGAGAAACTCCCATACTCACTGTCACAGGGGGAATTGGGGGAGAGCTGCAGGAGTGGGAACATGTTCCAGCCTAAAACAGGTGGAAAATGTAACATGTTCCCAAAGGTTAACGTTTTATTTAATATTCAGAGCAGATTAATCTTCCCTACAGTGTCAATAAACCCACATCATAAAAAACTTACAATAAATGCTGTATTACATGCTGTTCATACTCAGCCAGTCACTATGGAATTTTTCTGTATTCTGCAAAAAACCTGGTTGATCTTGCTGTTGTCTATCTTCCCATTCTGTCCATGTCCCCAGTGCAGATGGGGATTTGGCATAGCAGTGTTGGCATCTAGTGCACATGCTCAGTTTTCAGTGTGTTTCTGCTCTGAGCATTTCCTCCACATCACACCTGAGCAGCCCATGTGACTACAGAGTCACACATGTGGGTGTATACTCAGTGGTAAATGACAGCCCACTCCCTACTCCTCCTCCTCCATGCCCACTAACCAGCTAAACACAATGGGGGGGGGGGATATTACACCTTCACCTTCCTGTTATTCTAAGACACAAGCTGGAGGGGGCATGACACAGCCTGTGACTGGCAGAAATCCACCCACACCATGTTTTTGCCCCTCAAAAATAAAGATTTTATTTCAAATATATATATGTGAGATAATTTAAAACAGTTTATTGATATTATTTATTTTTACTCTGTATCCCAAAGTTGTTTTTTTCATTTTGAACATCTGACCAGCAGCAGAAGACTAGAAGCTCCCCCTGCATGTTTCCCTGCAGGCTGAGACAGCTGTATGTCAATTAGAAAAAATGTCATTAGATGGGTTTTTTTTAATAATTACAGTGCCATCATCCACATACAGAAAGAGAAGGGATAATTTAAATTAAACAGTGTGTATTTAGTGTCAGGTTACAGAAAATGTAAAGTATACAATGTTAAGTATCACAAGTGAAAGGTTTGCATAAAAAATTTAAATAAAAGGGTATGTCTATTTCTCCATTTGCTAGGCAATAAGCATCCCTCTTCTCTAGACATGTATGCGGCCAATCTGAGTTCTGAGGCCCGTTTCACACATGCTTAAGCGTGTATAAGAACAATGTGAATGCCAAGCTTTTACAAAGCATTTGCAAAGCTTCTAGCAAGCTTTGTTGACGCTTTTAAAGTACCATCCATCTTCTGTTTGTACATGCTGAACACAGATCCTAACTGGAGTGTACATTGCTACTTTAAGCAAGCTGCTAGCAGGCTTTAGCAGGCTTTCAACAAGTTTCAAGAAGTGCTGAAGCCCGCTGGCAGCTTGTTTAAATGGCAATCAGAACTCCCATTAGGATCTGTGTTCAACATTAACAAACTGGAGCTGAATGGTACTTTAAAAGCTTCAGCAAAGCTTGCTGAACGCTCTGCAAATGCTTTGTAAAAGCTTGCTATTCACACTGGTCTTATACTAGCTGATGTTTGAAAAAGGCCTTCGTTCAACCTGGACAAATAATTGGAAATTCTCAGTTGCTGCTCACCTAGAGACTGATTAAAGCCTGTAATACTTGGATGGCTTAGCTACTCCTGCCTCTTGTACCAGGCTCGTAACAGCATCAACAGGAGTGTGAATTTACGTAAACTTTCAGATTACGTTAGTGACATTTCTGGTTATATTTGTAAACATCTTACCTCAGGAAATCCAACCAAAACTAACAAAGTGAAGATATTGGTGTTTTTCAACTGATGAGGCAATTGTTGCATACAGTGATCTGTAAAAGCATTCATCACTTTCTGCCATTTTGGAGAACTATTTAACTCCCGCAGGATGTCAGACATAGTACAGGCCCAATCAAGACCAACTTTGCTGTAAGAAAAAATACATACATATACACACATTAACTGTATTCAACCCATGCCTTATGAATAACTATATCCACAAATGCCAAATAATTTGGTTCCAAGAGATAGCCATAGTGCATAAAGGTGTCAGAATGAGAGAATGAAATACATACCTGTCTAGACACAGAGCTCCGAGAGTGAACAGTAGCTGAGTTGTAATCCAACCATCTGGCACAGAGCTCCCATCATCTGCTGTTTGCAAGATGTGCTTGGAAGACAGGACTTTTTTCACAGCATCATCCACCTCAGCTGGGTTTAATCTGAGGATCAACTGCCCCAGAAGGCCCAATGTTAAATGATAGGATTCATTTAAGTGACCAGCATTGGTGATAACTACTTGAAACATCAGTGGTAGCACTTGCTGCAAGTTCGCAATGGAACTCACTGCATCCTGCAAGAGAAGAATGTTCATTTAACTGTAACCTTTACTTTTTCTTAACAAACATTTCCATAGAAAAGCAGCATTCTTGTAATTTGTAAGGTTCTGCCCTAAAAAAAATATTTAGTAATCTAGAAACTTTTGCAGATTCATAACAAGTTTATACATTTTGTTTACATATATTTAGAAACAAGTTACTACTCTAGAAGCAGTGTGGTGAAATGCTGGCAATCTCAAGCATAGAGTCCACTGCATCTCTGTGGTTTTATGCAACAATTCAAACAGTGGGTCCCCTGTGGCACAACCAGATGCTACACATCTGCAGCCTGTATTTCTTTTGAGGTTGCCTGTGGGGTTTTCTTTGAATCCTGGACAATTCTTTTGTCAGTTATGGCTGCAATCTTTCTTGGTCTACCTGACCTTGGCATCAAGAGATCCCCGAACTTTCCTCTTCTTAATAGGTGATTTAACAGTACTGATTGACATATTCAAGGCTTTGGACATCTTTTTTATGTCCTTTTCATCTTTATAAAGTTCCATTACCTTGTTATGCAGGACTTTTGACAGTTCTTTTCTGATCCCCATGGCTCAGTATCTAGCCTAATCAGTGCTTCCACTAACGAGTCAATGAGCTAACAAACTCATTGACTATTTATACACTGACACTAATTGCAATTTGAAAAGCCACAGATGTGGGACATTACCTCTATTTGGCATTTTACCCTGTGTGTGTCACCTTGTGTGTCTGTACCAAAGCCAAACATTCCAAGGTATGTACACTTTTGATCATGGCCATTTGGGTGATTTCTGTTGGCGTCTGATGGCAGATTGCCCAAGATGCCCCCACACTCCTGGTGGAGTGTGCCTTCACCCGACAGGGTGGGACTTTACCTTTCAGATCATAGGCTTGAATGATCAATTGGCAGATCCAGTGATAAATAGTCACCTTGGATGCTGCCTGCCCCTGGTAGCACAAATAGAGCATCTGACCTCCTGACTTGTGCTGTCACCTTCAAGAAGACCCTTACAGCACAAACCACATCGAAGATATGCAGAGATCTCTCTTGCTGACTGAGGCCCAGGAAAGAATGAAGGCAAAACTGTCCTGAATGAGATGAAAACCAGAAACCACCTTTGGTAAAAAGCAAGGATGAGGTCGCAACACCACCCTATCATAATGCAAAACCAGAAATGGTTCTCTGCAAGATAGAGCTGCCAGCCCTGATACCCTTCGCGCAGAAGTGATTGCCACTAGAAACAACGAGTCAACAGGACCAGTGGAATCTCTCCAATAGGTTCAAATGATGGCTTTTGCAAATCTCCAAAACCAAGTTCAGGTCCCAAGGACACAAAGGCAACCTGACTGGAGGAGCCATACGCATTACTCCTTGCAAAAATTGCAGACCAAAGAGTGAGACGCAATGGGCCTCTTGAAAAAAAATAGCTAATGCTGAAACCTGGCCCTTAATGGTACCAACAGCCAAATTCTTCTGCAGCCCTGTTTGAAGAAATTACAGAATACTGCCAATCACATACTTTCGTGGGTGCCATTTGTGAACCTCACACCAGGCAATGTAAGCCTTCCAGGTTCTGTAATAAATGTTCCTAGAAACTTCCTTTCTAGCACCCAACATGATTGGGATTACAGAAACCGACACTTCCCTATCCTTCAGAATCTGAGTTTCAATAGCCACGCCAACAAATCTAGCGACCGTAAAGCAGGATGCAATATGGGACCTTAAGACAACAGGTCTGGCCAATACAGCAGGACCCACGGCCCATCTACTGCTATCTTCACTATTTCCACGTACTCGGCCCTCCTGGGCCAGGCCAGAGCAATCAGTATCACTGGAATATACTCCTCCTGAATCCTGCATAAGAGACGCGGCAGCAGCTGGATCGGAGGAAAGGCATAAATCAGTGAGAACAGGTTCCAAGGGATAACTAAGGCGTCTACTCCTGCTGCACGAGAGTCCATACCCTGGACACAAAAAGGCCGACCTTGTTTTTAAACCTGATCTACATCCAGGCAAGCCCATCGTTGGCAGACTTCCTTGAAAACATCGGGATGCAGAGCCTATTCCCCTGGAATCAACTTCTGGCGACTGAGATAATCCGCCTGCCAATTTTCCACACCTGGAATGAACACTGCTGACAGACTTGGAACATATCTCTCTGCCCAGGTCAGAATGTAGTTCACCTCCTTCTGGGCACCTCGACTTCTGGTACCACCCTGGTGGTTGATGTATGAGACTGCTGTGGCATTGTTGGACTGAATCCTTACAGGCCAACCCTGAAGCCTGGATATCCAATATCTCAGAGCCAGCCTCACTGCTCGAAGTTTCAGGACATTGAAGCCCTTAAGAAGAGACTCTAGCTTTTTATCTGCTGGGTCCTTGAAAACCTGTACATTATCCAAAGGACATGTTAAAGATTTATTCAGGGATGGAACAGCTGAATCCACTACAGGCAACCCCCATTTCTTAAACTTTTGTTCCATGGGGTATAATACAGAAAACCTCTTTGGTGAAACAAAAACCCTGTTTGGGTGGTCCGAGTCAGCATACAAAATTTTGCTACAGAAGAGGATGCAGGAAAGGCCTGAGTACTCTGTGAAGGCTTCAAAGAGCTCAGTAAGAATAAGTAACCTCAGAGGTTTCTATTAGAAGTAGCCTGAAACCAGACTGTACCATATCAATGAGGTCTTGGGACTAAAAATCTCTGAGACTGGGAGGCAGAGACCTCCTACTTCTCCTCAGGCTGTGACTCCTCAGACAGAAACTCTACTGCCTGACCTTCCTCCAGCCCTTCCTCATCCTCAGGATCCACCCATTCCTGCTCCAGGATTGGTGATTCTAGTGACGGGGATCTATCCGACTTCTTAGTACCCTGAGAAACTGATGCAATTATCCCAACTATCATATCTTCTAAACCCGCTAAGGCTGAAGCAAGATCATTCTTGTTACATATGCTGAGGCAGAAGCCCCAGTAGTAGCCACAATGCCAGATAGACACAGCGGCTCAGATTGCCCAGTCACTTCTGGCCTGTTAGGAGAGGATAATACAGTGGACCTTCGTCTAGGTTTCTCAGGACCTGACAGTGGAACATTAGTGCCCTTTCCTGCTGTACCTCCCCCACTCCGCTTTCTGGAAGACATTACTTCAGATAGAGCAAACCTGTGCACCTCCACTAGTAACACAGATCACAATGATACAGCCATGCGAGTAGTGTGCTGAAGTAAAAACAAATGCTGCCTTATGAGCCACCTAGGGCAGCTCCTGACTGATTTGTCCACACTTCCCCCTCAGGGAAGTACTCACGTGCCCCTACAGAATAGCCCGCTCTGTGTCCCGGCCACAAGAGATCTCTCAGCAGCAGCAGCCCACATCTGTCCTGGCTTCCAGATAAACAAAATATGGATTACTTCTGTTTCCGGCCGCACTCCCTCTATTGGCCAAACACAATAAGAGCAAGCACATCTCAGGAACAACAGTGAGCACACCTCTCTTTTCTCTCCAATTTAGAGCTTTGTTTCTCTTTACAGAGAGAAAAAAAGGAGATATCTTACCAGTCCCACCGCAGTTCCCTGGATTCAGTCAGGCACCAACCTTCACGGTGAGCAGTGTCATACAGACCTTCAAGGATCAGTCCCCATGCTAAGGGGCTACTGCCTCGGACCTGTATAGCACCCTGCTGGAAGCGCCTTGGTCATATTTTAATACTGCACAGGGTTCCATCTGCACGGGGTCCAGCGCCGTAAGGCTGCATTACAGGCAAAACCTCAAGGATTCTTCTCCTTATCTGGCAAGGCTCGGGTACCATCCATTTTAGCTCACAGCCTTCCGAATGGATCAGATTAAAGTCCCTGATTCTCTAATGGAACAGTTCTGGACTTTCAGGTATGCTCCAAGAGCACAGCAGCACTTTCAGTGACCATCCACCTTATAGACACTGGCGAAAAAACTGTGGTACTTCCTGTATAGAAGGGGTTTATATAGGGGAGGACCTCCTCTCTGATTGATTGGCCAATGTCCATTCACCTATAGGTGGCCTATAACCCAACATAGTCAAGAATAGCGTGCTCTGTGCCCCGTGATGATAAAGAAATAGTATTTTTGTACTCATCGTAAAATCCTTTTCTTGGAGTTCCCTGGCGGAAACAAGAAGTCATTAACTGTCAAGTTATACTGCTGACAAAAGAAGGATTGAACGGTAGAAAACAAAAAAAAAAATTGTACGCCAGCCCAGGATAACCTCTCCTACTACTAATTTTGTAGCAAGCAGTACTGATGGCATAATAGTAAACACAGCATGCTGAAACCAAGGGGTCCTTCAATGGACTCGGAGAAAAATATATTATGGTGTGTACGAAATCCAGTTTTCTTTCTCATCCATTAAGGGATACAGAAAGTTATTAACTGTCAGGATGTCTAAGAGCAGCCCAACTGAGGGGGGTGGGCAACACAGCAAATACATGCTAACAGGTCTGCTAAAAACAACAGAAATGTGAGCACTGCCTGCAGCTCAAAGAAGATTCATCCCTCTGAGAATTTCCTAGGCTGAAAGCTTCACACCAAGCGAAACATGCCTTCTACATGCAGTGACAGACCTTGAAAGATTTAGATTTTCTAGTTTTTAACATTGTGGGAATAACTGATTCTGAGATGCCTATGTCCCTCAGAACCTGGGCTTTAACAGCCATGCTGTTAGAAACAGTGATCCAGGAGCAGGATAGCAAATCCGTCCACAAGACCAAAAGATCTGTTCGATCTGAATGTAGGGGAGGAAAGGTGGAGAACACTATAGCTTCAACTATAAGATCCCTGTACCTGGACACAAACCCATCCAGTTTGTTGAAGAAACCTGGAGGCCCACATTGCGACCTCCACCCTTAACAAAGGTCCCAGAACACCGTTGAGCTCATGGACCACTATCCCAGGTCCAGAAGCTGCTGGCTTAGCAAGTCTGTGTTCTCCAATTGTCTACATCTGTGATGTACATGGCAGACAAGGCTGGAATGTGAAGTTCTTCTCAGACCAGGATGTGCTCCACCTCTCTTGCCGTGGCAAGACTTCTGAATCCTCCCTGATGGCTGATGAATGCCACTGCCCTGGTGTTGTCTGACTAGCTCCAGGATGGATTACCCTTCGGTCATGTGGGCCAAGGCTGCAGGGACAATTAAATTGATTTGTAGTTCCGCAACATTGACAGGGAGACGAGACCACTCAGATATTCAAGTTCCAGTCCAGCAGGCTAGCATCCATCGTGAGGATCCTCCGAAAAACTCCAGAGCTGGAATCCCGAGCCACCAAACCAGAAGAACCTGGTCCTTTGCGTCAGACTAATTGTCTAAGGACTGGACTAACTTGTCCCAATAAGAGAGAATTTGTGCTGTAGGGGTCTGGAGTGAAACTAAGACTGCCTAAAATGGGGCTACCATCAGCTCCAGGACCCTCATGTAGAAGCAAAGAGTCAGTGGACTCCTGGACTGGAGAGAATCAGTCTGGAAGCAGATAGTTTGAAGTTTCTCCTAGGGAAAAAAAAAACTCTGGCTCGAGTTAGGTCTAGGAATAGACCCAGATACTTCAAACAGCGAGTTGCTTCCAGCACTGATTCCTGCAGGTTCAGGATACATCTAAACCTCTGCAAAATCTGGATGGTCAGGGCTATGTTGCCTGCCAGAACCTGTTCCCTCAATAGGAGATTGACTAGGTATTCCACAATGGGAATGCTACAAAATCACAGCAAAGCTAAAACTGGGACCAGCAGCTTGGTGAACACTTCTGGTGCAGACGATGGGGTGTATGGCAGTGCCACAAAAAAGTACAGAGGACTCACAGCAAAGCATACAAATTACTAGTGTGCTACAAAAGGTCGGGACACATAGGTACACATCCCTAATGTATACATATACCAGGAAAACTGAGGAGACTGGAGCTGGTGGACTCAGGCCAGGAACTACCTGATCCTCAGAGGTAGACAATTTAGTCTGCTGAGAAACATGATCTGTTGTCGCCTGAGTGCCCCACAATGGGGATGCCATGAGAAACCACCAGGGCAAACGCTGCAGCGTTCTGGGAGTGTTTGGCCAAAAAGTAAATGTAGTAGAGACCCAGGTTGATAAGGCAGAAGAGATGTCTTCACCTGATGGGTATAAGAATAACTTTAGTGATGAGATGAACCTATAACCATAGGATAACAGGGTCATAATAAAAACCTTCAGAAGGCATAGAAACATTTGTCCCCAGGACCCTTAGGGGAGCACAAGTTGGAATCATTGCAGTGGGACCATACTCGTTGTGTTGAAATACAAACATGTTGCGACCATGAGGGGGTGGATGCAACCAAGCTCAAGAAACAAGTCCTAATATACTCACAGAAACTCATACAGCTGGTAGCCAGTGAGGGTTAAATGTCAAAGGTGACCTAAGCCACTGCAGGCATGTAGTGGGAACAGACCAGAGATTAAAGTTCCACATGGCTCTTTGCAAAGTATGAGCAACAGCTGGGAGATAATTCCTTGATGCAGAATGTTCAGCATGTGAATCTTCAGAGACAGAGCAAGTACGGAGGCAATGCCAATGGCTCTGGACCATGAGTAACTTGTTACCATCATGGGGTCTGAAAAGCACCTATTGTGGAGTCTAGAACCCAAAGGTCACTTCCAAGATAGCCCATCAAAGTCTGGTCCAGCAGGGTCTTAACGCAGCCCTCATAAGCTAGACTGAGGAAAGGTTGCTCTGATAGCAAAAAAAAATAATAATAATGTTGCTCCCATCTTACCTCCCTCATTCTCTTGCTTCTCCTAATTTCTGGGGACATTTCCCCTAATCCAGGCCCTCAACCATCTCAACTTCAGTCCAAAAACCCAGTGTCCTCCTTCCCCTAGCAGCAGCCAGAATCCACAAACTAACTTCTATTCTCATGCTTCCAAGAACTAGCCCCCCTCCTCATGTGCCCTCTGGAATTCCGGTTCAGTCAGTAACAAGCTCAACTCTGCCAATGGCCTTTTTATCTTCAACTTTTTAACCTACTTGGTGTTACTAAAACCTGGCTTCAGGAAATCTGACCCTGGCTGTAATTTATCAGTCTCCTACACAGGTGTCCTACTTACTTGATTTCTCTTCCAAGCTACCCTACTTTCTCTCCCCTGAAATACTGACTATCATTTTTGTTGCTTTTAACATCCCTGTTGATGTTAACACTCTAGCTGCCATTCAATTCCTCAACCTAACCTCTCCTCTTTATCCTACACAATAAATGCACACTTCTACTCACTCCAAAGGACACCACTCTTGGCCTTGTATTCTACCACCTCTGCACTCCTTGCAGCTCACCAGCAGCCCCTTTCCTCTTGCTGATCACAATCGTATAAGTTTCACACTCTCCCCATCTTCAACCCTATATCCCCCAACCAACAAATGACTTGTAAAAACCTTTGTCACTTTAACCTTTCTTGCTCTATTCTACAACAGACTACCACTATGACAAAAAAAAATCCCACCCCTGTCCTGCCCTGGCTACTTCTATTGGAGAACTCATTCTTATCTTCCCTGGACCTACTCGCTCCCCCTCATACACACAGTGTTAGGCCCTGATCTCTACAACTTTGGCAAAAAAACACCACCAGAAGATACTGTGCTCTTGAGTGATTGTGGGGTAAAACACAATCTCTGCATACATTTGCCATATAAAATCTGCCCTCCTAAAATATAATTCCTGTCTTTGTACTGCCAAACAGACATTTCATCACTCTTATTGGCACACTCTTACAAAGTTCTGGACAACTCTAATGTTTTCTAATTTTACCACTTCATTCTCCACTGCCTCTACCCACTAACGCATTTGCTGCCCGAGAAAATACCAATCATTTCAAACAAAAGACAATTTGTGATGAGATCTCCACTATCCAGAAAACTCCCCCACCTAACAAGTCTACTGCAACATTCAATAGTTTCCTCTTTTAACCCTCTTATCACAATAGAAGCTGATACATTTTTTTCTGACACTCATCCTGCATCCTAGACTGCCTTCTCTTACAACTACTCTGTCACTCATCTTGCTCTATTCTGCGCTGACTCACATCTTCAATCTACCGCTTTTACTGGCATCTTCCCCACTGCTCCAAAACATGCAATGGTCACCTCTATATGTTAAAATTCCTCGCTGGACCCCAGCAGTCTGAACAACCCAAGACCGATCTCCTTTATCTCGTTTACCTCTAAACTTCTAGAATGCCTAGTGTAAGCTATCCGAACAACCACTCTGCTGATAACAACCTTCTCAACCCCTTTCAGTCTGGATTTTGCCCAAAACACTCCAAAGAAACTGCCTTTTATAGCTGACCCCCAACGCCACCTCCAAAAAAAGGAAAAAAAAAGCCCAAAAAACACTCATTTGGCCTCCAAGACTCTTTGCTGATTTTTCCCTGACCTTGGTAAGTTAGGCCATGACAGATTCTTTTTAATATATGAAACCTTGGGGACTTACTGATTTTAAAGGAGGCAACATGGCTGCGATCAGTCCTAATATACGTTCCTGAGAGCATTCAGCAAACAATTGGTCAGGGCTTAGGGTTGTAACTTTGTCAACAATATGTTTCTTGGACAAGTCTCCAGCAACTATGGGGTTAAAGAAAAAAAATTATTACCAGAAATACAAATTAACCAATTAGTACAAAACAGAAGTAGAATAGAAGTATAAATGGGTAACTAACATAAATATCCCTCTGTAAGGCCTTCTCGGTCTTCATCCTCATCTTCTGCACAGTTTTGCTTCTGTGAGGTGAAAAGATTTACTTCAGTAACAAAGCTACACTGCATAAAACATGAAAAAATATCACAACAGAGAAATGCAGACAAATGAAAACTGGAGCAAAGTAAACTGAAAGTGATACATAGTGGAACCAAACAGTCAACATGTTATTTCCCAAATGCAGGTTACAAGTTACAAGCCAACACCTAACAAAAAGTTTAGGACACCAGTTTTTTTTCATCTTTAGCTCTCTCTCTACATGATTACAAGTGTTTAAGTACTGACAAAGAACACGCACAAATACTTTTATGTGTACATGCACAAGTAATGCAAAACAGAAAAAACACAATCTGACTGGTTGCTGTAGATAACATTACTATTCTCAACTTTTTAAATAAGCCAGATTTTTTTGCTATTGTAGAATAGGGAACCTCTCCAGAGTGTTTAACACATCTATATATCAAAACTAAAAAGATGAAAAAAAAAAAAAGGGAATTTTGACTTGCCTGTAAATTCCCTACCTCTTAAATTGTAAGCTCCGAGGAGCAGGGCCCTCCTAAGCCTCTTGTATTGAACTGTATTGTTGCTGTATTGTCTCCCGTTATATTGTAAAGAGCTGAGCAAACTGTTGGCGCTATATAAATCCTGTATAATAATAATAATAAGTAACTTGGAGTACAGCACATGCAGAGGCTGGATATTCACAGCACCCCGGTCATAGACTTCTACCTTTCAGGTAATCTGACACTGGCAAAGATTTTAGACATGCCTACCCTTGGGTGTACTCGGACAACCCTACCCCAATCTGTGAGATCTTGTTTAACCCCTTCCCGCCTAAGGGTAAAACAAATCTTAATGCCTAAATACAATTTTGCAATGTTGACATGTGTTAGTAAAACTGTACACATCATCACACAACTACTTTGTACATCCAGGTGAATTATACTTTGTTTTTTTTCAGGACAAATTGGGCTTTCATTTGGTGGTAAATGGTAATGGATATTTCCTAATTGTTTTTATTATCAAAGGAAAACTGGCCCAAAATAGTAAAATAAAAAAAAAATAATTTTTTTTAAATTTAGCTGTTGATTTCTTGTTACTACTATAACCTACCACCAAAGAACAACCCAAAATAAATTTTCCAGCTCTTGATGATCGCAGCAATACCATCTATGTGTATGTTATTTGTTGTTTGTACACATAGTACAGCCCAGAAACAATAGTCCGCATTTTGTTTTTTTTTACCTAAAACACACTGACAATAACTGACACTAATACTAATTAAAAATAAATAAATAAGTAAATAAAAATCCTGACCTTTGATCCTGACCCAAACACTAACCCTGGCACTGAACTAGATCAAACCTTGATCTACGTATTTTTTCTTTATTTTAATATTTATCTTTTCATTTTTTTTTTAAACAAACAGCTTTTTTTTTTCTCTCTATGCAAAGAGTTCGAGAGATACAATTTATCTCTCTCCTCCATTCATAGAGAAAAAAAAACAAGGTGGGCGGGCTATACAGTGACTGATCACTGTGATAGCTAATCAAAGGCTATCACAGCGATCATGAGTCCTGGGTCCCGATCGTTAGAATGGGATCTGGGGCTCTCAGTGACACCCCGGTCTTTGTGCTGGGAGTGTGCCCTCCTAGCACAAAGACAGGTACGCAAATATGCGGCCCCACGGAAAAAAGTCCAGTTCTGTGAGGCCGCATATTTGTGTGAAATCGGCGTGAAGGGGTTAAGGAAGCAGTGCAGACTAACACAAGAACAGGTGGTGTCCTGTGTGTCCTGAGTGGACTCTAAGATACGGAATGTATAGGCAAAAAAAAATTATTTTATCTCAATCATAACGTATAAGACAGAAGCTAAATATTCTTAGACCCTGGAAGATCCATGATAAATGAATCAGAACGGTGGACAACAAGACAAAACAGAACTATGCAACAAGCCCAAAAGAAAAGAGTTAGCACTTCCACCTAGCAGCACTAGGGTTGTATGTGTATGTATGAATGTGAGTTAGAGACCTTAGATTGTATGCCCCTTGAGGGTTAGGGACTGATGTGAATGTACAATATACATATATGTAAAGCACTGCATAAATTGATGGCGCTACATAAGTACTTGTAATAAATAAAAATAAAGACCCAACTCAGACTGCTGCTGAAAGAATCTTATAGCCCGAAAGCTGCATGCACAGTGGTCTGGACATCCACCTGGTAGATCTTAAGAGAATGTGGGAACTGAAGACCAGGTGGCAGCCATACAAAGCTGAGCAACAGATGCCTGGTGGCAGAATGCCCAGGAAACGCTCATGAAAAAGTAGAGGTACTGGAGATACCATATCTTTTAGAGCTTTTATAAGCTCTTACAATGAGTTGTCTTACCCACCTTATAGTGAACTTGGAAGCAAGGTGTCCTTTTCAAAACCCTGGTAACAGGACCAAAAGAGAGTCTGTGTTTCATATAGAGGCTGTGGCTTTCAGACAGGCTCTGACAGCATTGACTAAGTCCAAAAACAAAGCAGAGCAATTTCCTCGTGATGCTTGGTAGCAGGGCACAATGTCTTCTTTAAGGTGGAAGGCTGATTCCACCTTAAGGAGAATGGAGGGTTTTGAACATATGACTACTTTGTCCTTGTAAAAAATTAAGAAGGGCTCCTTACAAGAGAGGGCCACTAACTCTGAAAAACGTTTTTTTTTTTGTTTTTTCTTTTCAGCGCCCATATTCTCAATTTTGTTCAGCACTCATGTCCTCACTTTAATGGAAATTTGTTTGATACTCTCATTACGATTGACTGTTTGGTTTTGATTATGACTCCTTTGAGGGGGCATTGTATTGATGTCAGATTGAAATGAAAATCTTATGTTCTTTTTAGCCCTGATGAAGGATGCACTCCAAAACACTGGCTACCCCTGACCTTGGAATAAAGTTGTATCTGGACCTCTTAATAGTGGTGTGGCACTTCAATTCCAACTTTTCTGAAACACGTCTGACAGACATGATGCCCACCAAGAAGCCTAGTTTGCAGAAGAGATCACCCAAGGGTAGTTTAAAGGGTGGTTTCTGCAGGGCAGAGAGGACCTGATTGAGGGTGCTGTAATGGGGGTCTGATCCATGAAATACCTTGAAATATTATTATTTTTTTTTTTTTTTTACAAAAGAGAAAGCAGTCAAAGGCTTATAGAATAGGTTGTACATGCTGAAACCTGTCCCTTAAGTGTACTTAGAGCCAAGTTGTGGTCAACTTCCCACTGCAGAAAAGCCAGAATATGAGGTACTGAGTAATCTCTGGTGTTAAAATGCCTGTGTTCACACCAAACGAAAAGGGATCTCTAGGTACAGTACTAGATTACTCTCAAAGAAGCTTATCTGGGATTGAGCAATGTGGGAATGACAAAGTCAGATATACCCCTGTCCCTCTTCAACAGCCATGGTAGGTTGCAAAAGCAGGATAGTACAAAAGGGACCTTGGAAGAGCAGGTCTGACTTATTCGGTTCCACCTCATAGAAGTTTGGGTCTGCCTGTGTACCAAGTGCCTCTTTATTTCTCAGCATGGTGCAATCAGAATTGCCAATTTCTTATTTACCTTTATCTTGCAGAGCAGTCGAGAAAAAAATCTGCATAAGAGGGAAGGCATATGTTAACCATTTGACCTCCGGAAGATTTACCCTCCTTCATGACCAGGTCATTTTTTTGCTTTTTGGCACTTGTAATGGACACTGGCTGCAGGGACCTTCTCTGCCCACATTCACCCTCTTATTTATTGTCATATTTCCCTTTCTGTGACATTTTTGAAGGACTATTTTCTTGTATCTACCCTAAAGACAGTTTTATTTGATATTATAAATGTTTTGTTTATACCTGGTTTATTTTATTTGAAATTATACATGTTCATTAACCACTTCCAGTCCAGACACTTTTACCCCCTTCCTGCCCAGGCCAATTTTCAGCTTTCAGTGCTATCACACTTTGAATGACAATTGCGCGGTCATGCAACACTGTACCCATATGAATTTTTTAGCATTTTTTTGAGACAGATAACGCTTTATTTTGGTGGTAATTATTCACCACTGGGATTTTTATTTTTTTGCTATGTGAATGAAAAAGTCCCAAAATTTTGAAAAAAAGTGTTTTTCTTATAAAATTTTGCAAATAAATAGTATTTCATCATAAATCTTGGCCAAAATTTATTACGTTATCTTTTTAGTAAAAAAAAAAACCCAAAACATTAGTTTATAACCAAAAATTATAATTTTTAAAACTTTTTTTTTACTTTTTTATATGATTTTTTTTTTTTTTTTACATACTTGTCACCCTAGCAGTACAGTGTCACCATGGTGACACTGTACTACTTGTGGGGGTGATGAAGATTTTTTTTTTTTTTTTTTTACACTGATTGCTTTTACACCCATAAAGGCTGTAAAAGCAATCGTTTCTCCTTCTCTCTAGCTGCATTCTTGCAGCCATTGAGAACTACTGAGTGAGCTGTGATTGGTCACAGCTTGTCACATGGTACAAGGCTGTTGTGAATAGTCTTGTAGCATGTGACCTCTGTGATCATTCAAAGATTTCACACGTAGTAAGCAATGATGTCCCAAGTGACATCTTGCTTACTACTCTGCATGTGATCACTGATTGGCGAATCAGTTATCACATGATCGGGACCTCGCACAGAGGTCCTGTCCGCCGATCGGTGTTCCACTGTGTCCGGAGGACACAGCGGGCACCGGATCGCGGTGCTGCGCGCTCCCTGGGGAGCAGGGAGGCCCTTTATAAACAGCCACCCAACCCTGCACTGCCACCGTCCAGCCGTTTATATACAACGGCCGGACGGGGAGGTGGTTAAAGGAGCTGGTCACATTGGTCTCTGTTCCATGTACTCCTATCTAGGCTTCGTTCTGTCTGGGTGGTCTTCCTGACTAATCAAGGCTGATCTGGGTGCTTGGCTGTTGATTAGCTTACTGTTAATTAGATCACTGTTAGTTGTTAGCTGTACTGTTTAACGTTTGCACTGTTTAGGATACAGTGATCAAACTCTTACCTAATCTGTGTGGGATGTTTATCTCAGTGTGTAATATTTGTTTTATTGTCCATGTGGTGGCATTGCCCTATTTCTGGTATAAAAACTGTATTTCTGTTCAATAAAGAGTTCCAGTTTGGCATCTAAGCTAGTCTTGTCTAGTCTACAATGCCCAGCTACAGTGAATATAAAAAGTCTACACACCCCTGTTAAAATGTCAGGTTTCTGTGATGAAAAAAAATGAGACAAAGATAAATCATTTCATAACTTTTTCAACCTTTAATTTAGCCTATCAACAGTATAACTCAGTTGAACAACACACTGAAATATTTTAAGTGGAGGGAAGTAAAAATAAAAAACTAAAATAATATGGCTGCATAAGTGTGCACACCCTTAAACTAATACTTTGTTGAAACACCTTTTGATTTTATTACAGCACTCAGTCTTTTGGAAATGAGTCTAACAGCCTGGCACATCTTGACTTGCCAATATTTGCCCACTCTTCCCTGCAAAAACACTCCAAATCTGTCAGATTGTGAGGGCATCTCCTGTGCACAGCCCTCTTCACATCACCCCACAGATTTGTGATCAGATTCAGGTCTGTGCCATTCCAAAACTTTCATCTTCTTCTGGTGAAGCCATTCCTTTGTTGATTTGGATGTATGCTTTGGGTCATTGTCATGCTGAAAGTTGAAGTTCCTCTGCATGTTCAGCTTTCTAGCAGAAGCCTGAAGGTTTTGTGCCTGATATTTGACTGTTATTTGGAACTGTTCATAATTCCCAAGACATTGAGAGACTGAAACACTCCTCCTCAGCCCATAAAGCTAGCATCTGTTATCTTCCAGGAAGGTGGGAGAAAGGACTTGAACATTTACAATACTGGACTGGAAATCCACAAAGCTAGTGATTTCCTTGCTTTGCTGGAGAAATGCATAGGGAAATAGAGAGATGGAGAGCATTGGCTCCAGGACAAAAGAATGCTGTGTTGGAGGGGCCTTGAGTGGAGCTGATAAGGGAACAGCTATGAATGAGGCAACTATGAGTGTTAGGACTGTCATGAGCATGAGACCTTAGAGAGAGCTTGTTTTGCAGACAAGTGTGCCTTACTATTTCTAGTATGAAGCCTAGATACTCCAGACTCAGGGAAAGCTGGAGGACAGACTTTTGGAAGTTGATTACCCAACCAAAAGCCTGAAGAATGTGAAGTCTTTTAGACATTTGCAGACAGTTATAAGGAAGATGAATCCTTCAGAAGAAGGTTGTCTGAGTATTCAGTAACCTGAATGCCCTGTGTTCGTAAGAGGGTGAGTAGTGGTGCAAGCACCTTTGTGAATGCTCTGGGTGCAGAGGATTGGCCAAAACAGAAGTGCAAGATAGGCAACAAATTAGAAGTGTTTGTCTCCTACTGCAAAGTACTGACAAGGTGGGTAAATGGGTATATGGAGTTGGCATCTTGAATTTCTACTGATGCCAAGTATTTACTTTGTTTTAGAGAGGAAATAACTGAACTTGCCAATTCCATGCAACTTGTAAATGTGAAGGGTACTTGTTTAGAGATTTTAGGTCCAGAGTAAGTCAAACGCCTCTGTTGGATTTCCTAAAAAAAAGGTTTAAATAGAATCCTTTGAACCTATCCTCTAGAGCGACCTTTATCAACTAGGGTGCCTTGAGGTTTCTTCAGGGATGCCTTGCCAAAATATCTAAAAATTGCCCAAAACTTGTATACAAGCCAGCAGGTGGGACATGTCTGCCTTTTAGTTACACAAAGCCATAGGTTTTCATTGTGCACCATTACAACCTACTAGCCGCCGGCCCTGACAACCAATGGCATCATCAGTTGATAAGGAGGATGTCGGCTGCCTGCACAGCATCCTAGATTGACCCTCCCCTGTCCCTTTCCATCAATGCTGAGGTCACATTAGCTCAGTGATGGGAGAAAAACTGAAGGAAAAGAGAAACACTGGAACAATAGTCAGTACCAGTGTGCAAAAGTGTATTTGCTTTGGAAGAATATATCACCTCCAATGTTGGGTGTCGTACATGTGTGGATGTTGCTGCATTATATAAAAGTATTATAATACTTTTTCACATTTTAGAATGGGTTGCCCTTTTAACATTATGAACAGTCTAGATGCACCCAATTTTAGAATGGGGTGCCTTTGGACTGTCCATATTTTTAAAGGGTGCCTTGGGACTATCCATATTTTTAAAGGGTGCCTTGGGACTATCCATAATTTTAAAGGGTGCCTTGACTGAAAAAAGTTGAGAAACACTGCTCTAGAGGGACCAGAACATTTCCTCCCTAGGGCAAAAGATGGTTCAAGGCAGTTTGTAAATCTGACTGTCCTTAGGCAGCTTTTGGGTGGTTTGAAAGAAGAAAACAAACTATGAATATCCAAAGCCTGTGTGCTGTTCTGTATAATTAAGACAAAATAATACACACATACATATAGAAGTATATTTTCCCATTATTTGAGTTGTGGTCCCTTTAAGGGGGTGCTTTGAAATGTGATGCTGAGTACTCAGGGGTTCTAACTTATGGTGAGTTGTTCTGGGTAGTCCGGCTAGAAAGGAGAAGACTGACTTTCAGTACAGTCCTTATTAGGGATCTGGAATTTCTGAGATTTAAGGAGTTTTGGCTGGAAAGAGCCTCTAAACCCTGATTACAAGGGTCTTTGGTCTGGAAGGGGTTAACCCAGGGGGTTCAGAGTTCAGAAAAAAAGGGGAAACTGTCGGCACTTAGCAGTGAGAGAGCTGGACACACCTGAGTGAGCAGGGTGAACAAAGCATGGGATTGAGCCACAGTTGCTGATTGTGAAAGCCTCTTCTTTGGGACCCCTGGAGCAGATGGGAAACCACAAAAAACCCCAGTGTGGGGTCAATATATGGTGGTGCTGCGCCATCATCTTGGTTTGTGACACAGACATACACACAGAGATATATACACACATTTACTTTTTTCATACACAGAAACACATGTAATACTGAACATTACACTGCAATACTATAAGACTAAAAGATGCACTGGTTTCACAATTATGTATTATCATTGTTACCTTTTCTAATCCAGTAGGTTTTACGGTGACAAAACCAGCTTCCTTTTTTAAAGAAGAATCATCATCAGTCTCCACAATATTATTGTTAGAAGATGTAACCGTGGAAGCTCCACTTTTAGGACTGGAATCATTGCTAGTCAACAAGGACAGTAAGGAAGACACTCGGACACCTAAAAAACAGATGGAAAGACAAAAATAGAATTTCTGAACTCACACTGAATTCCTTTTGTAAGGGTCCACTGAGGGACACAGCTTATTAACTAACCTAGGCTTACCACCTACAATAGAAATCCCCCATAGGCTCATAGAATATGAAATGCCAGATCCCCATTGTGAGTATAACCTCTCCCACCACACATCTGCTCAGTTGTAGCAAGCAGTCCACACAGCAATCAATCGCATATGAACGGAGGGAGCCGAGTCCCTCAATGAACACTTAGAAAATAATTTTATGGTGAGCACAAAGTCCTATTTTCTCTATCGCTCATTGAGGGACACAGAAAGATGACAGGCAACCTAGGGACATCCAAATACAGTTCAAACTTCAGCAACAATCAAAACACAGGCAAACCAACACAACAAGAAAAAAAAAACAAAGAAAACTATTAAAGTGCCACTTGTAAAACCTACTGTATCCCTGAAACTAGCATCTGCAGAAACAGACACTTTGACATTGTGAAAGTAGAAAACCTATGCACAAAACAATAGCTAAAACAACAAATAGCTCTCCCAACCCTGTGGAAGTCAATAGAATCACAAGCCAGGAACAGATAAAATTCAGTTTAATGCAGGTTTAAAAACCTGACCTGTAGAAGTGCTCAGACTGACACCAAGCCAGTGGAGAGGAGAAACACACATTCCCAGAAACTGGAGGATAACACATGATCCTGGACCCAATAGTAGGTTGCTCAGCCCAGGAGCCTGAGGACAGTGGGAGGAGTGTGTGGGTGGCAGCCGGCAGGATCACTAAGATGGCGTGTCCGCTGTACTCTATTGACTTCCACAGGGTTTGGAGCGCTCCTTTATTTGTTTTTGTTTTGTGCTCATGTCACATTGTAGGTCATAGGAGTTGTCAAAGCTGCCCATACTGTGGTTATCTACATATTCCCTGGAACCCCATTGCGCTTGGTATTTGCACTTTTTTTTTTTATACAATAGCTAGCAACCCTACAATTCTCTGACATTGAGGCCTGATAACGAAAAGCCCAATAAACACTCAATGCCTTAGTAGAGTAGGCATGAACATAAAAAGAAGGTATTTTTTGGGGGGCACATACACAGGCTCCGGCAAAGATGGCCACTTAGCTGCAAAGCTCCACACAGCAGCTGCCGATGTCGGCCCACCACAGCCTTCCCAATGGGCCACTGGACTGGTGGTCTCTCAGAGCCCGGGATGCCCAGCGGACATCCTTGCTTCTTCTATGGCCGGCAGATCAGAGCACGGGCCCGGTATCGGCTGCTGCTGACCACGAGGTCCTCCCAGCCTGAAGCCAAGATGGCCGCTGCTTCCTGACAACAACCACAAGGTGTGCCCGGGCCCTGCTTCTGAAGATGAAGTTGAGGATTTCTCAGACGGCTGCACAGCTCTCTCCCCCCCCTCTGCTCATGATCCCCTGCTACCCAGGGACTTCCCAGCCTCTACTGAATCGCTCCTTGACTCCCAGTCAGTGATGCCCCAACCTAGCCCTGGACTCCCAGATGAGGTGCCCACTATTCCTTCATTTGCAGATCTTGATGCAAAAGCTCTACTCACTAAATTTTCTGAGCTACAGGAACAGGGCTTAGCTAAAATGGCTGCACAAATTACATCTGAAATCAATGCTGATATACAGGGTCTGGGTTCCCACATTGAGGTGATATAAAGGAAATTACAGTCCACTGTCACCCACACTAACCAGAATATGCAACGCATTCAGAAATTAAAAGAGCAACTAGACAAAAGACATAGGGGGGTTTATTTACTAAAGCTGGAGAGTGCAAAATCAGACTCACTTCTGCATAGAAACCAATCAGCTTCCAGGTTTCATTGCCAAAGCTTCATTGAACAAGCTGAGGTTAGAAGCTGATTGGTTTCTATGCAGAAGGGAGTCTGATTTTGGACTCTCCAGCTTTAGTAAATAAACCCCATAGTGACAGTAAGTGAGGGAGCCTCTTTGTATACACTGCTACCTCACTGTATACAATGCTCCTCTCCTGCCCCCCCCCCCCCCCCTCCCCCCTACAAATAGGATCTGTCTCTCATATGCTATCACATAGGGGACTATTGGTCCCCTATGTGATAGCAATAAAATCATAAGTTAAAAAAAAATACATGAAAGTAGAAAAAAAATACATTAAAAAATTGGAGTCTCCCCACCCCCACATACACAGACATTTCGGTTTCAGTTCGGTTTTTGGCCATATGCATTCTGAATTTTCGGTATCGGTTTCAGCACCAGAATTTTCATTTCACTGCACCACTAATACCAACCGAACCAATTTCACTCCAAAGAGCCCAAAGACAAGCTGAATGTAACCCAAAACAAAAAAACCCACACTAAGCCGTCTATCAATAAGAATGGTAAAAAATATAAAACATATAAAAACATATATAAAAAGAACATTTAATTATTCCCTTATCCTATAAAAAAAACTTTATTGAGAAATATATGCCCTATCTAGTGGTAAAAAAAAATAAATGACACCCCAAAATTTATTAAATTCTATGCCCCATCTAGAGGTAGGAATATATATATATATAACACCTCAAAATTATAATAAATAATTAAATCACTTTGTAAAAAACAATATTACATATTACTAATAAAACAGTTAAGATCAAATTTTCGTTATACAATCTCGCAACCTAGGAGCTCTTCTATAAACCAACTTAGGTTGTGCTGATAAGCACTTCGATAAATTAGTGGTGCACCGAAATGAAAATTCTGTGCAGAAACCAATACCGAAAATTCAGAATGCATATGGTCAAAAACTGAACCGCAACCGAAATGTCTGCGTATGTGGGGCTGGGGAGGCTCCAATTTTTCTTTGTATTTTTCTCTACTTTCATTTTATTATCTAAAATTTGATTTTATTGCTATCACATAGGGGACCAATAGTACCCTATGTGATAGCATATGAGAGACAGGTCCTATTTTTAAGGAGGGAGGGGGGGGGGGGCAGGAGAGGAGCAGTGTATACAGTGAGGGAGCAGTGTATACATAGAGGCTCCCTCACTGGCTGTCACTATAAGTCGGTGCCGGTTTTTAAATGCAATTGCCAGCTTTTTGTTCCCTTCACTATAGCTTGCAGAATTAGCTGTCACTTTCCCCGGAGCGAAAGAAAACTTTGTTTATTTTATCTCGGGAAATAAACTAAAAGGACATTTTGTTTCTTTTAGCTGGGGGGAAAGTGATAGCTAATTCTGTGAACTATAGTGAAGAAAAAAAAATCCGGTAATTACATTTAAAAACTGGCACTGACATATACAATCTGACAAAATGTCCCTTAGGGACATTCATAAGCTAGGAGGTGTGATGATAACTACTAAGGGGTATATAGCCATTACGATCTACTGTCTTAACCGCTTAAGGACCGCCCAATAGCAGAAATACTGCTACGGGGCTGCACCTGTGCGCAAAATCATGTATATGTACACAAATTTGCATTTCCGGGTACGGGGTACGTGCCCTACCTGTGCTGCCATTCGCGGCCGTGGATGTCAATCACCGGGTCCTGGCCGGTAATTACCCGCCGGCACCCAGTGATTACCGACAATCACCGAAGGGGAGGAAGACTGTTTTGTTTACACAGCCATCTGGATCAGTGTGCTTACAGTAAAGCCCACATCCCCCGCCCCCTAGTAAAACACTCCCTGCACATAGTTAACCCTCTGATTGCCCCTCACATTAACCCCTTCCTGCCCAGTGCCATTAGTACAGTGTCAGTACTTTTTTTTAGCACTGATCACTGTATTGGTGTCACTGGGTATGTCAGTGACACCAAGTTAGTTTCCCCCCCAGTGTCAGAATGTCCCACTAAAAGTCACTGATTGCCACTATTACTAGTAGAAAAGAAAAAAAAATCCCAGTATCTATACCGCCATTTTTTTTTAAGCAAAGACATGTAGCAGAATACAATTTGGCCTAAATTTATGGTGAAATTTGATTTTTTTTTTTAATTGGACATGTTTAATAGCAAAAAGTCCAAAATATAGTTTTTTTTCTCAAAATTGTTTTTTTTTCTTGCTTATAGTGCAAAAAATAAAAAACGCACAGGCGATTAAATGCCACCAAAAGAAAGCGCAATTCAAAGGAAGAAAGGACGTAAATTTCATTTGGGTGTAGTGCTGCATGATCGCGCATTTGTCAGTTAAAGTAGTGCAGCACCATAATGCAAAAAATGGCCTGATCAGGGAGGGGGGTAAATCCTCAGGAGGGCAAGTGGTTAAGGAATGTTTTTGTTTGTAGACAAATCCTGTTTCACCATAATCTCCAAATCTAAGAAGTTGATGATCTTATCATTTACCTCCCAAGTGAGGACAATATTCTTGCCATTTAAATTCAACCGCTCAAGAAATAATAACAAATCATCTCTATCTCTCCTTCCCATACCATAATAACATCATCAATAAACCTATTATACATCCTCAGCTGACCAGGCATATCATTAACAATAGCCTCACTTTCCCATTTTGCTATAAATTTGCAATGCTAAGTGCACACCGGGCACCCATAGCTATTCCTCTGATTTGCTTATAATAGGTATTCTCATACCAAATATAATTATGGGTAAGGCAATAGTCAAGACACTCAATCAAAAATTTTCTTTGAGTACATAGAAGAGTATTAAAAGCCCACTTCACGGCTTCCACTGCATCATGATGACTAATAATCATAGACAATGAATTAACATCAGCTGCAACTAGCAAAGTTGGACTTCTACCTATCTCAACCTTCTCCAATAACTGTAAAAAGATGTTTAGAATCTCGCAAATAGGATTGCGTTTTCTGAGAAAAAAAAAAAGGCTGCAATAATTGATCCACATACTCACCCAACCTAGCCCCCACTGATTGAATACCATTCACTATTGGGCAACCAGGTGGATGTTCTTTATTTTTATGTAATTTTGGGATAGTGTATATAACAGGAATCCTGCAGGAATCCGGGATTAAATATCTCCCTTCATTTT